TGTATTTTTTTATTTTTTTATAGTTATCTGTTTGTTGTGGGTGTGCTGTACGATAAATTGTTCTTAGATAGATTATTTAACATTTAATTAAGAAAACTAAACCAAAATAGACCATCAACGGAATATGTAGATATTTTCTAGCTTGAATTTAATTGGATTTAAAAGAGGTCCATCAAAAGATTTACCAATATTTAAGGGTTACACTGGCTTGTTTATATCGTTTGCATTAGAAGCCGAACGATGATAAATTGTCAATTCATCATATCTTTGTAAATACTGAACCGAACTGAAACGTCTTTGGACTGATATTCCTTTCAGCGATTTAAATTTCACAAATGGTGATTTGGGGTTTTAATAATCCTTGAATGGATAATGACAGCCATTTTGATTTTCCCACTTTTGCACCCGAACACGACAAGTGTGGTATTTACTATTTCCTAATGGGAAACACGATATTTCCAAGCGGTAACGAATACAGAATAAGTTCTTCAATAAAGACACGAATTAAAACGTCACCCAATCCCAATGCAAAGTGACCCAAACTATCATAACATGCCCGATTAAAATCAGTAATCGCATAATAGGTATAATTCTGAATTTGTTACCCTCACTCATGTTTTTCTCGTAAACACATAATATCGAGAAAAAATCGTGTCACCAAAAGTACGCATTTGCAAGTAAACAAAGTTTCACGTTTGCCGTTTCAGATGACCGGGCGAGGTTATTTTTGTGTGGTTCAATAATCATGCCAACGAAATTAGACTACATAACAATAGGCGAATTAAAATAAAGTCTTTATAAAGTAAGCTTCAGTTTTTAAAACAATCATTATATTTTTAACCCCACTTATTGAGTTAAACGTGCATTTTCAGAAATACGAAAAACATTATTTTTTAATTGCGAGCTAGAAACGTGTAACCTCGGGTCAATATATAAGAATGAAGAAATTCAGGAACTGATGCGATAAGACATGGCATAATAGGAAACTATTATGTGTTTTTGTTTGGCAGTTCATACTGCATTGTCTAATAATTATGTGTGAATGATACACGCAAATACGCAAACAAAACCACCACCATCGGGTGTGTGGGTGGGTTAATCGGAATGATATCATTGACTTGACTTTTGTCGGGCTTAATGTCAACTTCCATTCCTTTCTTTAAAAACCCAACTGATTATATTAATGCATGCTTTCTAATATACAACCGATTATACATGTTCTAAACAACGCAGTTTTATATAATACACATCTTCTTATACTGAAATGACACAAAATTATGGATAACAATCCAGTTTATTATATTATACACATCCTATATACCAATAATCTAAAGGCTTCCTACATAGAAAACGAATCATTCACAGAAGACTATATGTTTTTAATTAATTCAAATAATGAAGTATTCTCTCATGAATCATAACGCTTCTAATTTTAATTAAAATAAAAACCTTCTATATTTTACATACAGTCGAGCTTGATTTAGAGTTATAAAAACTTCCTTTTGTCTACTTTTAAAATCATTATTTTAGTGAAATAGTAAATTCTATTACGGTCAGCACTAGTGACAAGTGACCATCCATGGTTATTTTAATTTTCCAGTAATACAAAATAATCTAGGTATATATATTAACCGAGAGCAACGAATAATTAATATGGGTCAATGGGTATTTTTATGGCATGTAGCGGTATATTAGCGGTGAAAGAGGTCAGTGAACTACATATTTTTATATCAAGACAAAGTTGTAAAAATGTACATAATATGTCCAAAGCTGTAAAATAATTGACAAGAATAATATTTTATTTTTCCATCCAATGTCATAAAGGAGTATGTCAGGCCTTTATGCTAATAGGCTATCACTGATGAAAACAAAGGAAAATAATTGTATTAATGTCGCCTGTAAAATCTTTGATAATCTGTGTAATGTATGACCTTAGGTTCATTAATAAATAAAACAGCTAAAAATGATCACGAAAACAATCATTTTACAAATTGCACCTTGCTTCAGATATATAATCGTGAATACTTTTCTCATTCTGCTTTTTTGTACTGAACCAGTATAAATCGAGAAAAAATTATTTTTTTAACCCTTGATATCAACCGTGAATTTGCCCCTCCCTCGATCCGCTACAGTTCGCTACGGTAAGCCTATACAGGAAGGAGGATGGGACCAAGATGTGGTCTATACCGTTTCTCTTTTAGGGAAGATCCTTGGTTGAGAAAAAATTTCACGGTATTTTCCGGTTAACCATGATTGTCAGTGATACAGGACGGAGGATGTTTCGTTCGGATGCGACGAAAAATCGATGTCCCCCGTATAAAACGGTATTGATCCTAAAACGTTGATTTATTCATGTAGTATTCTGGGTTTATTTTTTCATTAATGTCTATTGTGCAAATGTCATTTAATTATCCTTACAAAGCATATAATAATGTAACCTGGTTGTAATAATCAGGTGCTCTTTGATGTTAACTATTTAACTCAAGGTTATCATCCCTGAATTAACGGGAAATTTTCATAGGCCCCTAGTGTTTATTTTAGTTTTCATTATTTTTGAAACAATTAATTATAATTTCCCAGTGCAGTATATATTAAAACTTAACTCTCCCAGCAAGATATAGGGCCAGTAGAAACGTGACTACATGTACTTTTAAGCCGTTGTCTCAAAGATGTTATTACAATGATGTCAAAAAAATGGCTGGGGCTATTTGTCACATATGTGGTAAGACAATCCGGAGACTATTTGCCACATGTGGCAAGTCTCCGTACCGCAATTATCAACCGATTTCAATGAAACTTACAGATAACGATAACATTAATAATATCTCAGCGTGAAAATTTCGACCACTTCCGGTTAGCGGTTTCGGAGATATCAGGTTACCACACATTTCATGTGGCACGGCTACAGACCACAATTATCAACCGATTTCAATGAAACTTGCAGATTATAATTACTTTAATAATATCTCAGAGTAGCCAAAATTTCGGCCACTTCCGGTTACCGGTTTCCGAGATATCAGGTTACCACACATTTCATGTGGCACGGCTACAGACCACAATTATCAACCGATTGCCATGAAACTTACAGAATATGATACCTTTAATAATGTCTCAGAGTAGGCAAAGTTTCGGCCACTTCCGGTTAGTGGTTTCCGAGATATCAGGTTACCACACATTTCATGTGGCACGGCTACAGACCACAATTATCAACCGATTTCAATGAAACTTGCAGATTATAATTACTTTCATAATATCTCAGAGTAGGCGAAATTTCGGCCACTTCCGGTTAGCGGTTTCCGAGATATCAGGTTACCACACATTTCATGTGGCACGGCTACAGACCACAATTATCAACCGATTTCCATGAAACTTACAGAATATGACAACATTCATAATATCTAAGAGTAGCCAAAATTTCGGCCACTTCCGGTTAGCGGTTTCCGAGATATCAGGTTACCACACATTTCATGTGGCACGGCTACAGACCACAATTATCACCCGATTTCCATGAAACTTGCAGATTATAATTACTTTAATAATATCTCAGAGTAGGCAAAATTACGTCCACTTCCGGTTAGCGGTTTCCGAGATATCAGGTTACCATATCAACCGATTTCCATGAAACTTACAGAATTTGACAAGAATAATAATATCTCAGAGTAGCCAAAATTTCGTCCACTTCCGGTTAGCGGTTTTCGAGATATCAGGTTACCACACATTTCATGTGGCACGGCTACAGACTACAATTATCATATTCCGTAAGTTTCATGGGAATCGGTTGATAATTGTGGTCTGTAGCCGTGCCACATGAAATGTGTGGTAACCTGATATCTCGGACACCGCTAATTTTATTAACCGGAAGTTGCCGAAATTTTGGCCACTCTGAGATATTATTAAAGTAATTGTAATCCGCAAGTTTCATTGAAATGGGTTGTGGTCTTTAGCCGTGCCACATGAAATGTGTGGTAACCTGATATCTCGGAAACCGCTAACCGGAAGTGGCCGAAAGTTTTGTCACTCAGAGATGTTATCAATGTTATCATAATCTGTAAGTTTCATTAAAATCGGGTAACAATTGCGGTCTGTAGTCGTAAGGCTATATTGAAATTCTTGCTTACCACATGTGGCAAATAGCACTGCCCAAAAAAATAAGTGCTAAGGACACCCTACCGTGATCCGAACGCGTGTCAAATCAGGGGTTGGTTGAACGGGACGCTATGACGCGCTTTTCTTCATGGCTTTGGAGATTTTGTGCCCACTGGAAATTTTGCGTACCTTTCAATGGGGTGTTCAAAGATTAGTTTGACAGATTCATAATCATTTTTGCTGTTGTTGTTGTTAGTGTTTAACGTCCGCTTCCACCGAAGGTGATATCGCAGACAAGTTGTCTTTTTTTTTTTATTTTCATTATCTTAGCGCACGCGCAGGGGTCTTTTCTGTGGGAGGAAACCGGAGTACCCGGAGTAAACCCACGAGGTTGAGAAGGCGCCCCTATCTCCAAGCCACATACGCTCACACCAGGGATCGAAACCACAACCGCAAGCCAGAGGTGACCGGCCAGCTAGAGGTCGAAGCGTGACACTCTAGACCACTAGGCCATCCCAACCCCCCTCAACCAGTTTTGAATTTATACCGTGGATCTGATATGCCCCAGTTTGACTCTAGCCTTAAATGTTCCATACATCCCAAATTGGCTCGGGAAGTCCCCCCCCCCCCATCGGGGATCTTGTTCCTAATGCAAAATGAGCGCCGAAATTCCTTGAAGTGGTTTTGTCCGTTAAAGTTATTTCTTATTTTAATTTATAATATAGCTACAAATTTTTAAACGGACTATTTTGGGCTCAATAGCTTAATGAACAGTCTACGATGCTTATTATTTCAGAAAGTTCCTCGGATTTATTCAATGCAACATTTTCCCACATGTCCGTCTTTTTTAGCCCTATTAATTTTAATTGGTAAAACAAAAAATAAAGACAAACCGGACTACTGTTTTTGGTAGTCTTCACCTAGTGACACGCGCTTGATCACGTGATCACAAAACGTAAACAATAAACGAGCACGTGTTTACTATGTGTACACTCAACGAAGCCAAAGAACGTTAGTGATAATTTATGGGACTGCGTTTATAGATTAAGTTCGCCTATCCGTTCAATGTGAACGAATATTAAGACTTTTTTTGAATGAAAAGCGACACGTCAGACTGCACCTAGATCTATTTTTAATTTCGGAATTGTGTCAATCATGACAGTCTCCCAAAATTTTCCCCAATCAGAGTGAGGCTTTTGACCTTGTTTCCGGAAATTGAAAAAAATGGCGCACATGGATTCGTCAACAATTACAGTGAAAACAGCAGACGGCCGGCTGACTCCCGACAAAGACGATATGTTAGATCCTGGCGGTGACGAAATGAAGAAGAGTAGTTCTAGATTCAAAGTAGCTCGAGTTGAATTTGTTGAAAAGAAGGACGACAATGAAAATGAGGATGGGGACTGGAGTAAAACCGACCAAGTCAATCATGGCAACAGAAGCCCGGAATCTCCAAGTGTTACGTTTTCCCTTGGAACCGATTCCTTGACACATTCATATGATACAGGCAACATGAAAACGTTTGCAATGAACACACATGAAGCCTTGCCATGTATGGATCATTATAGGAATATTTTGTCAGCCACAGGAGTTTTGAAAAGTAGACCGACATTGGCAGAATTACATGAAGAAATGGCAATAGAAATGGTAAGTAGTCGCCATGATTAAAGGTGTGCTCCCACACAGTCTCAATTAAATTTTATTATTTTGTGTAAATAGATACTAAGATTGATTTGGATATAAAGAAAAATCAAGGCTTGAGAAATCTTCACAGGTTGTTGAAAAGTAATTTCTAATTTGCTATGATTTGACTATAATAATATAAACAAGGTAGACTGTAGTTCCACACACAACCAAACTTTTGGGAAAATCCAGTCAGATAAGGGCTATCTAGTATCTATAGCATTAATTGTTAACTGTCATTAAGAATTACTGGAAACAACCATTTAGATATCATATTTGATACCATTTTCCCCACTTTTGACTTTTTTGTTTGCAAGAAATTCAACTTTATCAAAGAATTTCTGATGTACTAATTATATTTACTAATATATATATTTAGATCTATGAACATGTGTTTTATAGTGAGCTTTTACTGGATTCCCAATTGACAACATTTCTTTGATATGGTCTTGAATTCTTTCATGTGCAGAACAAAAGGTCACCTCTCTGATCCACTTTATTATTTACTCTAATGCCCAGTTTCTTTTTATTTTACAAGCAACCAGATGTTATCTATTAATTGTTTGCAGGAAAATTATCACAAAATAAATAAATGGTTTATATTAGTTACGTTCAAAAGTTGACTAAATTGTGTTTTATTTTGATATACAGTGTAACGTCAGCTACCCTAATTTATCAATCTTTAGTCAATGATACACTACAGTATGCGATATGCAAATAAGATTATTTGTCTTCTAGCATATATTGAAGGCCAGTATTTATCGATTTCCTCTGGTTTGAACATAACAGAAACAATAAAACAATTATGTCAAATCAGTAACTAATTTAAATCCTGAAAATAAAGAAATATACTAGGTGACAAAAGAAAGAAAATGGTAGGCCTATCCACTCAGAACAATTTGTTCAAATATTCATTGTTCGGTTCATCATGTATGCAGTCAGTTTGGTTGATCATGTATGTGTTGTATCAAGCTTCACTGTTTGTCTGACACGGTGTTCTATAAAAATGTTGATAATGATGATTGTCCCCCGCCTTTCGAAGAAAGCAGGGGACTATTAAAATGGGTTTGTCCGTCTGTCTGTCCGCCTGTCCGTCACACTTTTTGGGACACAATAACTCTCCTTCTAATTGACCTAGAATGTTCAAACTTGGTGTAGGTGTTTATTAGGTCAGTGCCTTGATGGATTTCGAAGATGAGCATTTTGCGGCTTAGGGTAAGCAGAGATAAGCAATTTGATTGATTGATGCTTTGGGACACGATAACTTTAGTTCTAATTACGTGAGAGTGATGAAACTTGGTGTATAGTTTCATTACATCAATACCTTGACTAAGTTCGATGATGAGAATTTTCTGATTAGGCTAAGGAGCAATAAGCATTTTGATTGGTCAAGACTTTGGAACATAACAACTCTTCTTCTAATTGAGGTAGAATGTTTAAACTTGATGTAGATGTTCGTCTTGACTTAGTTCAATGATTAACATATCGAGCTAAAGCTAAGCAGAGATAAGCAATTTCCTTGGTCGATGCTTTGGGACAAGATAACTTTGATTCTATCTGATAGAGAGTGATGAAACTTAGTGTATAGTTTATAATCAGTTTGATTGCTTGATACTTTTGAAAAAAATAGATGTGCGATTAATTAATATGTGTCATCTATTTATTTGTGGATTTCGACGGGGGACATCAGCCTCACTGTTGGCTTGTTAATAAGTATAGCTTGGGAGCAGATTAATACATTTACATTTAGAAATTTGCCAGATGTACTATGTAAATGTTAATGTTCAGGAATGAAAAATAACATTTTAAGTCAATTTCTCTTCATGTAGGCCTATGCGAGATTGTAATTTATTAGGGGTTTTGTTATTTTAATCACAAAATTTACTCCATTTTCATTAGGCTACTGTAGCTGTCTTTAACAAAGTTGTATGCAGATATATAAATAAATATGAAATACATGTAAAATTGTTATCAGTTTTTTCAATTCAATAGACTTGCCTTATAAGTGATAAATTTATAATCTCATTTGCATACCAGTTTTGCACATAATTGGATGGCATTAGTTTTAGATTGATAACCGCTGCGGCCAGCGTGTAATGCTGACAATCCCATTGCAGGCAACATGGTCATGTTGACCTTTCATTGTAAATGATTGATTTATTATGCCCTTCAAGTTGAAAACCAAATATGGTTGGTATTTTCAAAAATTGGAAAGATTAAGTACGAATGGCATTCATGAGATGAAAGATGGGTCTTGTTATCTACAAGACTAACTGGAACTGGATGCTAGCAGGTGCAGTTATGATCAAGTCACGCTTCTTAATGTACATGTACATAATTTTACTGTCTTACGCCTTCTGGAGAAAACAAAGGAACTATTCATCTGCTCGGCTGTCTCTCTGACTGTTCATTACACCTTTTGGAACATAATAAAGAACTCTTCTTCAAATTGAGGTATAAGAAATTTGATTTGTCGATGCTTATGGACATGGTGAGTTTAATTGTACCAGAGTGCGAGTGATGAAACTTACATCCATTATATCATGATCTTGATTAACTTCGATAATTATTATTGTCTGCTTAGGATAAGCATTGTGATAAGCAACTTGAAATTGGTCATTGAGTATGCGGAAACGCTATTACCTTGGGGGAGTTCCCACTGTTCCCCTCATAGCACACTGTATGGTATGAGCGTCTTCATTTGCACAGTTGTTGCAGAAAAGAAGGATGCTAAATTTTGTTTGGCTGCTGGAAGCTTTATAAAAAAATAACATTATATATGTGTGTGTGTGTGGAACACTTATGGTCCATAATCAATGAATGGCCTTACTGTGAAAGCTCAGTAAAAGTCACGCCATTTATAAAAGCTGATTTTTGTTTAACAGCTGAATACAACTTTATAATCTTTCCAGAAAGAAATATTACTTTCTTTTTAAACATAGATGGTCTATTTTCATAAAAATACCTTTAGTAGAAACCATCAAAAAAGTGATTATGCTTTATATAATTTTAACAAAAGACCCTTTGTTTAGTCTATGCCGAATCATGATGTCTTTTTTGTTATCATTATTTTCAAGGGCAAAGACATACTTTGACTGTCTGCATTCATTCACATTGCATAGCGAGGCATGATATTCACTAAATATCACTTGTCAGTTTGTCTTCTGATATTGGATTTTATTAACCGAATAATTTTTGGACCAGGAATTGGTCGCTAATCGCAACTCATCTTGTTCTTCTTGGGGTGACACTCTTGAAAAAGCCTAAGGCTTCGTCAATTCAAGTCGAGTCGACATGAAAATTGGCTTCTTCTTCTTCTTGAACAATTCTGCATCGATTTGGTGAATTAGTTTTAAATTCCATCCAACATCTTGGTCAGTTCCTGGTCCATAGTACAATCATACTTGTTTTTACTAACATTATTATGAACAAGGTTTCAACCAAATGTCTCATCAGTTCTTTCTCAACGTTATTATAATGGAATTATAGTTGAAAATACAAGTTGTGTCAAGTTCTTCCCCCAGGCGGATTTCATATTATTTAACGAATAACTGAATATATATATATAAATTGGATCTCACATTGACCTTCATCCCAAAACTAGTTTTACTTTAATGGTGCAAATAAAGGTACTTTAGATTTGACATGTTCAATTTTTATGGTGTGATGAAACACAAAAATGGGTGTATTTAACCTGAACTTTGGTTGTTTGTAATATTATCACTGTTTTATATTAATACAATTTTTATAAACTTGGTTAGTGATGACAAACCAAAATATTCTTCTCTGTGTAACCTCTTTTAATATGACTTCTAGTGATCTATTGCTAATGTCACTTATATCACGGTTTATATACAGAAGCTTGCCCTATATCTTGAAAATTATGCATTCTTAATTGCTTGGCCTACATGTATATTATCCATCCCAGATACCACGGGTCAATGACCCTCATTAAGAAGCAAACATTCCATCAGATAAGTTATCTGTATCATCAGCTTTTCATTTAGAAAATTGTTCTATCACTCCGTCAAACAATGCCTAACTATGCATGTGATTTATACAATTAATGCAACAAAATTTAAAATGTTTCTTTATTTGAATAATATTGACTGCTCTTTATTTAGCATGCTGTCTTTCAATCTGTTTCACAGAGGATTACGAAAGTCTTCTAATATCTCTGTAAAAGGTGGCTACCTTCAACACGTGACATCTTATCACGTGGCGTCAATCATTGGCTCAATGGTGCATGCATAGTTTAATAGTGTCTTTTACTCATATCATTTTAATACCCGTTTACAACAAATAGGAAATAAATTTTACCTACAAATATGTCAAACATCTTTATTTATTTTTCTAATACATAAAAAAAAAATGTTTTAGAATTTCAATTGTCGGTGGAAAAAAGTTAATATTTCTGGCTCATTAAGCCGCATCGATGTCATCCTTATCAGTGATTGTAGCGACCTAGCGAATATTCAGTGCTGATCAGTGTGGCTGTCTATGTGAGATCAACTTTGGCCATCGGCATTAGTAGGTAGGCCTATTGCTAGAAATACTTGTCTGTGTGCGAACATTCATACAAAATTTTGATTCTATTGAACGGTTAACATATCTTCCAAATCAAATTTTTTATTTTGTCTAAAACTTCAGATCTGTGTTCGGAGGAATTTGTAATACTAGAGACAGGTATCAATATTGTAGACCATCGATTATTCATACAATAACATTCTTATTCCAAATGAAATCGTTGATATATCACTAACGCATTTTATTCTGTAATAATGATAATTTAACTAGATATAAGATTCATCAAATAAATAAGCTTACTACATGTACTTGTACAATATTGTCACTTTCTTGGTGTTATTGTGATTTTAACTTAGCTTAACATCTGACAATAATATGACCGGATGTTAGTTTTCACCACAACAATAGAGTTTATAGTACTGTAATACAAGTTAAATAGAACTAAGTCAAGGCAAAATACTGTAAATATGGAGTTCTTTATATCCACATACTTGTCTATTCTCATTTAAACTTTCCCTAATATTGTTACTAAATATTACACAGATGTGTGCCAAAGTTTTAAAAAAGTCATTGCTAAAAAAAAAAAATGAAAATACTAAACAATGTGAACTAGTCCAATCCAGTCAAATTTGGTTTTGTAAAAAGTAACATAGATAATGTCATCAACAAATTCCTTCCATAATAAGAGCTTAGCTAGGGTAATCCATGAATGCATTTACAAGACTTTATTAGGCTAATAAAGAAGACTTCCCACATACAAACTAGGTGTGATTTGATGATATATATATTTGTACTAAAAACATATTCCAGCTAAATTATCTATCATAAGTCTGTTTCAAATTCCTCACAAAGCATTTTTAATTGCAAGGCACTTTCCCAAACCTATTTTAAACAGTCTTGTGTGTCACGTTTCTTGATTGAGGCGATGGTTATTTCCAACTTCTATTTGTTGTTACTCTTTGTCCATTCACCATAAATACCATAAATACTGAAGCCTAAGTAAATGCTTGGATTAAGCTGTATGTTTAAGTCTCTCTCTATTCGATATAAGAGTTGGCCATAGTGTCACTGCCAGGTAAAATTGTCATTTGAAGGATTTTGTATTCCCTTGCTAAACTACAATTCTGTGAAAGTTGAATCTCAGACAAGCCAGCACCACTTATAAGTCTTTGCTTAGATCTTTTATCATGGGCTTCTTTTTTATCTGATGGAATCCAAGCCTAACATTATCTGCCATTGATATTTTGAATTTGATTTCTTAAATAAATATTGAATAATCAATTAAGTACATTGTAATATGGATTAGGCTGTGAAAATTTTAGATGTTCTAATACGCAGATGATATAATGAATAATTATGATAGCCAAGATCTGTTGAGTTTATGATATAAAAGTTATTTTTTTCATATTTTCATAATTTGCTTGTTGTAATAGTATAACTTTTGTCAGCAGCAATCATATAGTATTATTAAGAGACACAGTCACATGAATTCTGATAATGGAGACGGTTCTGGAATCTTCCACAGGTTCTTCATAATGATTGAACAATATCACTGACGTTTGCTGCCAATAATAAATATTTTTCCATAGCCTTTGTCATATTATAGAGTACAGCTTAAAATTACAAAATCTATTTTTATAACTTTCATTTTAAGCAAAATCAAAGAGGTTTAGCTCCTTTAACATGTACGTGTACTCTAAAACAGTACTTGATTACCAACGAGCTAAAAGGTTTAATACGTGTACATTGTATGTTGTAACTCAAAATATTCAAAATGTTTTGTATTTTTAGGATGAAGCTGGTGGTGATGCTAGAGGAAGACATAAAGAGCCATTAATAGGTAGTGAGGAGAAGATAATAGGTGATGGACAGCCTGTAGTAACAACAGAAAAGACAACCGGTTCAACCAAGTTTGGTTGGATCAAGGGCGTTCTGGTATGATGAAATAATTGTAAATTGTATTGATTCACTGATGCTTCAACTAGTTCAACACATTTTTTTGTCTGGTGTCAGCCTTTTGTTTATACAGCTCACATTTAAAGGTCCAAGATAAAGCTGAAGATATCAGATATCTCGATAAATTACTCGCTTACTTTATTACAAAACTCGTCCTATTTAATTTAACAAAGAATAAATTTAAGAATAAGAGATTCCTTTTAAAATCAACAGAGCAGCACATTTTATGAATACCTTATTACATAAACTTGTGTGCCAACATCTGACTTCAGTTCACATCATTTATATTGTTAGATCTTTATTCCTACTAAAACAAAATAAATAAAAATCTATTCACATGACAACTTTATGACACATGATAAAATTTTGTTTTAAACTAGAATCATTCATGATTTCATACCTAGGCTAGAGCTGTTCTCAGTCATTTAATGAAAGTCTAGACAAATAATGGTTGTAGTTTTTAATTGAACTCAATTTATGTCCACTATAAATAACCAAGTAGCATAATTGGGATGCCTGATACTATTTACAATACATCTTACAACATATAAACAACTAGTATTTCGTTGTACAAGGGTGCTAATGTTGTTGACTGGGCCTTTATTTTATATGCCCACATTTTCATGTGGACGTATATTGTCATTGCCCCTGTCCTTCGGTCCACAATTTGTTTGTGGACACTCTACATCTCACAATTCTTATCTGATTTTGATGAAACTTTATATCCCAAAAATCTTTGTTCCTTTCGATCCTGGATTATGGCCCCTGATTGTACGAAAAATCACGTTTTTACCTTGTGGATCCTCTAGAGGTCACAATCTTTATCCCATTTTAAAAAAAAAACATTTGAGTATGTCACTGTTACACCCTAACGATGGTTGAGTTTGAAATTCGTGAAAATAGATCCAAACTGCCTGACAAAATGGCCATGAAAGTATGTAATACCAGGGTTGTGGACCCTTGGGGTTTTTTTTTTATCTAATTGAAAACCCTTCATGTTTGACTAACTTTAAACCAAATCCATCAGACCTAGACTGATTAAACTGAGTGATTAAACTTGTGTATTTCATCACCCTGTGGGACTTTTTACAAGATAAACTTTGCCAATATATTTCAAAACTATTAAATTATAAAAGCTTTTCTTTGTATGTTTTGTTTTTTACCATAGATAGTTCAATGTGATAATTGGTTTTCTTGTTTCCAGATAAGATGTTTATTAAATATATGGGGTGTTATGTTATTTATACGATTGTCATGGTGTGTAGGACAAGCTGGTATGGTGTGTACTTCATTAATTATTTTATTATCGGGTGTCGTAACAACTTTAACAGCTTTATCTATGTCTGCTATATGTACAAATGGTTCAATAAAGGGAGGTGAGTTGTTATCCAATCAATCTCTTTATATGGAAATGCTAACCCATAGCTTGTCGTCTGCTTATAGTTATAAATGTCCCTATTGTAACATTAATAAGAAAGCTGGCATATGAATGCCTGCTTTACAATCCTTTAGGTACTCTTCCTCTGGGAATATTCGATTATTGGAGAATCGTAGATCAGTACATTATTTCAGTCCCACAAGGAACTAATTTAATACACATGATAAATTTACTAGTACACATTAAACGTTCAAGTCTGTCTTCCTGGATGACTAACTCCATATCTTCGCTAGACATGAATGTTAAGATCATAATTTATTTAAGCTGTGTGTCAAGTCAGTCTGACATAAAGAGAACCTGTATTGGTCAAAAATTAAAAGAATATTTAGTTTAACAATAAAAGAGATATAATTAGACTGAAATGTGAAATGCATGAATTATTTTTGTGCTTCATCACTCATTACTTTTTAAAATCGAGTATCATAATTATGAAAATATTTCAGTGGCTACACTTTTTACCTTATTTAATAAAAACAATTACATTTAGAATTATATGGTATTCACTTAGTATGATATTTATTTTATTTTTTTTTACTGTTAGATTTATATATGTTGTTATACCTACTACGATATGTATTTTAAGTTTGAAATAATAATATTTAGTATTACATTCTATCATTGGAGATTATTTGAACTTGATATAACAATCTATTTTAACTTTATGTAATAATCTGTTTTAAGGTGGAGCCTATTTTATGATATCACGAAGTTTAGGACCTGAGTTTGGTGGTGCCATAGGTCTGATATTTTCTGTAGCTAATGCTGTAGCTGTAGCTATGTATGTTGTTGGTTTTGCTGAAACTGTTAGAGATTTATTAAAGGTGAATAAATAGATACATTTGTTGTATAGCTAGCCCCAGTAAAATATTGTTTAATTAAAAACTGAATAACTCTGGTGAAAAAGATAGTAGACAAAATTATTACTTAACAATGACTTACTGTATGACGATATGGTATATTGAATTTATACAAAAATCCATTATGTAAGAGCTAAATATGCCTATTGCTGATCTTTTTTTTTTGGCCTCAAATGATAAATTATTATTTAAACATTTATTAACATAAGCCCATATGGTAATCAACTGTCTGGACCATTTGTTCCATGTCAGACGTATATGCCGGTCATGGGGGCTACAGAAAGTGACTGAAACTAGATCTGACCCATAGGTCATTTTGTATGTCGGAAAAATAACGTTTTTTTTTCAAAACCCAATTTTCAAACATGGGTACGATTGACCTCTGCTATGTAACAATAAAATTCTACAGCCTGTACAGAGCCACATAATCTCATAATTGGTGTTATAGTAGAGTTGTACACATAGTTGTCAAAGAGATTATTATGATCTTCGAAAAAAGTGCAATCCAATATGAAGTACTGCTCTTTGAATCCAAGCAACTATCATATTTCATAATAACAGCACAAAAATTACATAAATCCTCAACGTGTTGGGAGAAAAATGCTGTAGAATTTTTTTTTTACAGTGGTATTACAGCTTTGTTGGAATTGTAGAAATAAAAGCTAGAGATTAGTAAACTTGCTAACCGAAAAATTAAGAAAATAATTATGTATTCCATTGCTAATTCACGTAGTAGTATTGATAATTCATGTGTCACAAAACTGTTGTGCATATGTTTACTTTTATTATGCACGACAATATTCTAGGGGGCGCTAGTTTGCTAGCTGTGAAGTTGTCTGTCATTAATTCATTAGTTATTAGGATTTACGTCACAATTCTGCATTTTGTAATGCAGTAAGAGATGGTCTAAAACCGATAAATGTGAGAAATTTTAAGTAGATTAGAACACTGCAGCCATTTAAGAGTTTAAAGACTGTCAAGTATCATGGCTATGATAGTAAATAATCTACCTTATATTTTGTCAAAACTTCTAACACTCATAACTTCACACAGAATAAAGTAACGTGACTGAAATTTTCAATATACATGTTTCATTATCTGTTTTGAACTATTTTTACCACCGACGGCCAGCTTTTTACATAATTCTTACTTAATCAAGTGGCGTGGTTTCAGTTCTCCGCAACAAGGATTAGGGTCGCCTGTCCAGTCTCCGGTGTTTTATCTGAATCCTCTGGTTACCTCTCACAGCTTAAAACCTCTACGTACAAATAAATTATTGAAATAAAATTTAACTATATGTTAGTCCCAAAATGACCTAGTTTGTGTCAAGTGGATGTTAAACCCCATTTCTCTTTCTCTCTCTAATTCTTACATAATGCATCTTTAATGTACCTGTGAGTTGAATACATTGCATAATAAAAATTAGTCAAATGAGTTGTTGGTAAATTAAATTTGCGTATCTTAATTGAAAATGTCTACATTTTTTTGTTATGATATATTTACAGGCCAATGATGCGTTAATGGTAGATGAAGTGAATGATATACGTATTGTTGGTGTTATAACTATTGTAATATTATTAGGTATAGCTATTATAGGAATGGAGTGGGAAGCCAGGGTAAACATTAACTTTTTCTCACTTCCTTCCATTATAGAAATTATGCTAAAGATGGCATTTTAAAGTAATGGTAATCATATTATTAAATGCCACATTCATTTTATTCTTCTACATTAGTTTACAAATATTAAATAGAACAATTGCTTGATGAGTAATTCAGAATTTTTATATTTTTTTAATAAGATGAATAAGAAACCCCTTTGTACACCATTGGTAGCACATTAATGTATTATCCACAATATCCTTGTGAACATGTATATTTGTGGATCTTTGAATCAAATGTATTTTCTAGAATGATCTGACACAGAAATTTTAAATTCTGATTTTTAAAATGGGAAATCAACCTAAAGTACACATGTATATTATAAACTTTTATTTTGATATATTCAGGCACAGTTAATCCTGTTAGGAGTATTGATAATAGCTCTAGTAGCTAGTGCTGTGGGTTCTTTTTTGCCACCTCCAGAAGAGAAAGTTGTTAAAGGATACATAGGTTATAATGGTAAGATATAACATAGACATATTTTGTTTCTGGTTTTATGAGCAAATTGATGTAACAGATAGGCAGTTTATGAGTGAAGGTATCTCTACAGTTTTCCCTTATGCTAAAATCTTCATGCTGAAAGTTTGATGGCTGGGTTCAAAGTAAAATTGTGTTTAACATGTAAAGTTACTTGTATTGTTTATTGACTGTATTCATAGTCATTTTATGTTTAAAATAGCTTAAAGCAATTGCACTATCTATTACAGTAAAATTATTTGAGGAAAATCTGTTACCTGATTATAGAGAAGGAGAAAGTTTTTTTTCTGTGTTTGCTGTTTTTTTCCCTGCTGCTACTGGTATTCTAGCAGGTGCTAACATATCGGGGGATTTAAAAGTAAGTACATACATAACTGTAAAATGTGATACTATTCCCTCCATTAATGGTTTGATAAAGCTGATCTCATTAATGGATACTGATATAATTTTAGAAAGAATTTGAGAACTTGACACAAGACACATTTCTTCTTCATGTGACCGAATATCGGAATATATGCATGGCTGACAAATATTATGAAATGATTTTTAATATCCTACTTTACTGCATCAACCAGGCTAATGAAGACGTGCATATGCCATGAGGGAAATTTTGCCTGGTTCTCTATGTGACCAACAACTTCTACAACCCATTTGAGCGCCAGGTTCTCCGTCTTGTACTTCTGAGGAACCTTTCTGGGATCAACACTGGGATCGACACCTCAAACCTCCTGGTTAGTTCAGCCAGTGTCTTACTCACTAATTCCGCAGATTTCAGTGTAGTAAATATATGTATTGGTAAAAACAACAAGTTACCGACTCGTAATATATTGGGCATATATTTTCTGATCGCTGATAACATAACCACGATCTGTTTATCACTATTCACTTTTGTTTAATATGAAAGGTCAATTTTGACATTCATACTATTTTATGATAAAAAATTTATTTTGTTGCAATATTTCTTTTTACAGGATGCATCTGCATCGATTCCAAAAGGAACATTGATGGCTATCTTGCTGTCTACCATTATATATCTTATTGTTGCCTGGATGTTGGGAGCTAGTGTAGCAAGAGATGCTACTGGTTATCTCCCTGCTATAGTAGTCACCAACTTCACTAGTACAATAGTAAATGGTACAACTGTAATGAATAGTACCAATATTATTATTCCCAGACATTATAATTTAGATATTATACGAAATTGTAGTCAGACAGCAAGTGGGGTTTGTGATAAATATGGATTATTGCATGATTATCAGGTTAGAAATTTAATTTCATATTAAAAATGTACTGATTTGGGCCAGTCTCATAGATTTCATTATTTGATCGCACGATATTGTAATTTGTGTAACACTTTGGTCCTTGAGACAATATTGGTTCTTTGCAAAATTGTTGCTTAACTCTGTCTATAGAGTCAAATCACACATACTAAATGAACGTGAATATATAGTTATACATAAAAAACAGTGATATTTTGGTAAAATCATAACCATTGTCAAGATATCCATCAAATTCTGGCTGTTAATTGACCTATAGTTGGTAGATCAAATAAGGTAATGTCTCCTCATTTAGTCGTGTGAAATAAAGAGGTTTATTCCATATATGGGATGGAAATTAACGTCATGGTTATCGAAGACCTGCAGAAATTAGGGGGTATAAATTAGGGTGTAGGGCGAGTTGGATCAGCTCATTCACAAATTCCTAGCAGCCATTATTATTGAGAACGAGGAACCTTCAAAGCCATTACAGCTTGGCAATAAAGTTGTAAAACCATTGTTGCTGTAGTCTTGTTACGATCACGAAGAAACAAATTCAACAATAAAAGTAGTCAGAATTGGTATGGTGAATGTCTTGGCACCGTAACTAGGATTTTAATTGAGGTGGTATATATCTAATAGATAATTCGATACAAGTTCTTTATGTCATGATTTGTGAAAGACATCAACCTTGCCATTCTTGTCATTATAATTTCTTTTCATGTGCATGTATTAGGAACTCTTTGATCACTTTGGTTGTTCTTGCATTCGTAACTGTTTGGTACATGCATTAGTAAATATTTGGTACATTTATTATGAACTATTTGGTACATGGATTTGGAAATAGTTGATCAGTCATACACATATATTTGGAACTAATTGATCAGTCATACTCATATATTAGGAACTATATGATCAGTTATACTCGTGATCAGTCATACTCATATATTAGAAACTATAAGATCTGTCACATACATGTATTAGGAACTATTTGATCAGTGATATACATATATTTAGAACTTTTTCATCAGTCATACACATGTATTAGGAACTATTTCATCAGTCATACACATATCATACACATGTATTAGAAACTAAATGATGTCATGTACCATCCTCGGTAGAACAAAACGATACCACTGGTGATACCGAGGATGGTCATGTATTTAGAAATATTTGATCAGTTATGAATCAGAAAATTTCCAAGCTGACTGTATTTGTGGCACTTATTGCATTGATGATTTGACTTGTTATTTAATTGTCTTTCTGTGTTTTATAGGTTATGGAAATGATGTCTGCATTTGGACCATTAGTAACGGCTGGTATATTCTCTGCAACCCTATCATCAGCATTAGCTAGCCTTGTGTCAGCTCCTAAAGTCTTCCAGGTATTTAAACATATTTCTTAAAGTGGAAATACTTCTTTTCAAGCCAGAATAATCGTTCGTCATAAATCAGCTTTTAATAATAATTAATTTAGAATGACTAACATTTTAGGTTGTTGTTCTTGAATAATGTGTTTTGTTTATATTTCTGTATTGTTGCTTACTATAAACTATCCTTTTTGCAGTCTTAACTTCTCGCGCCTTCATCCTCAACTTATTGCTTTCTTGAGTTTTAAAATCGTTGTCTTCTTGTTCCTCAACTTCTTACCCTATTGAATTATATAAATACTTTTTCGACACTGTAAGTAAGTGTCTATAATTATGTGTTTGTCCATCTGTCTTTTCGTTGGTTTTACACTTTCTTAAAAAAGTATAATGCCTCGTATATTGTTTTTGTGAGAAACTCTGGTATTAGGTTGAAGGACTCATTCTTGATAATACAGTATCTGAAAATAATTATTTCTACTGTTTTTAGGCTGTGTGCAAGGATAAAATATTCCCTAAAATCCACATTTTTGCTAAAGGTTATGGCAATGATGACAGTCCAAGATTGGCATATTTATTAGCTTTTGCGATTGGTTTTGCTTTTGTATGCATAGGTAAGTTTGAAAACATTTTTAGACTTCCATCTAGATAAACCATTATAGGTGTGTCGAACACAGGCAGCACAGATCGAAAATTTACATGAAGCTGATTGGGCAAAATTGGAACTATAATCTGAAGAATGCTCTTCTAAATTTGGCAAGAGGAATGCTATGACTTAACTTATCTGGATAAAATCAGGGTGTGCTATCCTATTGTGTGGTGGCCAGGTACACAAATATTTTGTGGTTAGCTTATGTTTAATAATATGTCCATTTATATAGTGACAAATCCACAAAACGTGCTCTTAGCACATGCGAAAACTATATACAAAGGTTCATTGTCAATATTTGTAATGGATTTTGAAAAGATGAGTTTTTATTTAAATCATCTGAATTTTATTATTGTGATAGCTTTGATTGAATGCTCTTATGAATATAAAGTACAAGGAATTATTTTTACCTGTGTAACTGTAGTGTAATTATATTTCTAGGTGATTTAAATGCCATAGCTCCTGTGATATCCAACTTCTTTCTCATGTCGTATGCCCTGATTAACTATTCCTGTTTTGATGCCTCATTAGCTAGATCTCCAGGTTAGTCCATCATGTTATATCATAAATTTTCATATTTGGTATTTGTAGAGAAACTTTAAAAATAATTTCTAATGTATGATTTTTATACATATACAGTTCAAGAGCTTTGATTTTCACAGTTTGTTATAGGAGAAGTATCAAATTGTGTCTTACCAGCCTTTTCTCTTGATTATCTGCATGATACATCATACGAATACCATGAAAAGAGACAAAAACATAACAATTAAATCATTGTTGCAAGCATTTGTTGGTGTTGTTTTATATCTTTCCAGTTGATATGAAAGATTGATTTATCTTGTTATTTTTAGGTTGGAGACCAGCATTTAGATTTTATTCTATGTGGATTAGTTTATTAGGAGCTATAATATGTCTAGCTGTTATGTTTATAATTAATTGGTGGACAGCTTTAATAACATTTGGTGTTATTTGTGCCTTGTTTGTTTACGTCCATTATAGAAAACCAGGTAAGTTTAACAAAACGTACAATTATAAATTCAGTGGTTTATAAAAAATAATATTTACATCTGGCCTCAGTGGTGAATAATCTGAGGTTAAACAAAAGGTATACCATACAGTTATATATGCCTCTATTTATATTACTGTCAAGTCTCACTTGAGTGGTGATTAATCTGTAATTTTCATGATTTTGCTGCCGTTTTTCCTTTTAATTTATTCTATCAAGGCAACACCCTTTTTAAGCCATATAGAAACAACAGATTGAGCATACAATAACTGTGCCAAAATCACTTGATAATACAAGTACCCAAGACTCTGTTACATGTATTGTCCCATCACTAAATCTTGTGAACACAAAGTTAAATTATTTTTCATTGCCTGTAGATATATATGTTGTTATATTATAATCATTATGTTCAAATTTCAGATGTTAATTGGGGTTCATCTACACAAGCCCATGTATATAGATCAGCTTTACAGTCGGCACTAAAATTAATATCAGTTGAAGACCATATCAAAAATTTTAGGTCAGTATACAACCTGATGTATTAATGTAATTTAGGTTTCATCTTTGAGTTTTTATCAGTAAAGACATTTGATGTGCTCAGTAGCCTCTATAGATTTTCTTTTTATAAAATTAGCATTTTCTGTTTTGTTAAATCTTACTCTATACACAATAAGACAACTAAACTAAAATTGTGTTTAAAACTCCTGAAATAAGAAGTGGTACCAGGTGCTTTAAAAAGACTACCTTGCCTTAAGCAGAATAGTTATTGTCAACACCTTAAAGCTAAATCAAACTATAGCTTGGATATATTAGGCTCATGTAAATGGGGGGTGGGAGTGGATGGCTGAATGGTTAGCACGCACACGCTCTATCATACAGTCTGTCATTGCGTCAACTGGAGGGGTTTCGATTCCCCGGTTGTACGTGACAAGGAGTAGGGATGCCTGTCCAACCTCGTGGGTTTTCTCCGGGTCCTCCGGGTTCCTCCCACTGCTAAGGACCCCAACGTGCAAGCAAATTATTGAAATAAAATTGAACCGTGTGTTAGTCCCAAAATGACCTAGTTTGTGCCGAGTGGACTTAAACCCCATTTCTCTCTCTCTCTCTCTCTTTCTCTCTCTCTCTCTCACTCTCATGTATATGGTAATTGTATTATTGGGAAAAAGAGGGGGAACAGCGACACTCCCTTAATAGAGTAGTAGAGGTTGGACAGGCTAGTAGATCTGTGTAGCTGCTGGATCAAGAGTAGATATGTAAAACTGCTGTTGTGTGGTTAATTTTAAAAATCTAGTAATTATAGTAGTAATTTTGTATGTTGATATTATTTAGACCACAAGTATTAGTATTATCTGGTGTACCTGAGAACAGACCAGCTCTAGTAGATTTTGTATCTCATATAACTAAAAAAATCAGTTTAATGGTCTGTGGTAACATTGTGGTGGTAAGTTAGTTTATTATATAAATCACCTTGTAATTTTCAGTTCAAATTAAATTTAAGTTGTGAAAGCTTGTATAGTGTCCTAATATCATTGTTAACTATTGCATATTAAAGCATTTTGATTTTTTTTTTTTAAAAACAACTTTAAAATAAGCTTTTTTATGTTTTTATTCTAAAAATATGTTTACCTATATTTACTACAGGGTGACCAAAAGCATAATTTAAAAGTAGTATTATCAGAAGAAGCGTATGCTTGGTTGAATAAAAGACATATCAAATCATTCTATAGAACGGCTACAGCACCATCGTTTAGACTGGGAGCACAGTCCTTAATGCAGGTATAGTCTTTCTTAATTGTCTTTATAAACCAACGTGTAAATTCTGTGTTATATTGTCATCATCCAGGTCATACAATGTTATTGCCCCTCTTAAAACACAACTCCAGTTCTTAAAACATTCAAATAGTGAAAACCTAAAATAATAAAAACCTTAAATGATATATCAATCCCTTGCAATATTGTGAAGGTTTAATCTTTAATTAGTCCAAAAATTGTTCAATTCCGTACAGTATTTTATAAAGTTATGATAAATTGAAATTTCATCAATACTACACGAGCGTAACACAACATAGCTATCTTTTGTTGTTAGCAAAGAAACCTGATGGTCCTAGTTTAAATCCGATTGAATCCTTGCCGGGAGATTATCTATCTAGCGTTGGTATTTTGATTTTGTTTTCTTAATTAAGTGTTAAATAATCAATCTGAGAAATTCGATATCTTAGCGAAAATGGAAATGAGGCATCAAGCCTTTGAATATCAAGGTTTGAATTATTTAGTTGTGAAACAAATATTAGATCCCAATGAATGGTAGACATACAAAACAACTGTTTTAATCTGGTAATCCATACAATAGATGTCTTAATGGTATTAACTTTGTTAAGTTATTAATTATCTTGTTGTTTGCTATTGTAGTTATGTGGTATTGGTAAGCTTCGTCCTAATCTATTAATGATGGGCTTCAAATCAAACTGGTCTTCATGTTCCGGTAAAGAAGTTCTTGAATATTTTAATGTCATTCAGTAAGTATTTTTAATATATTCATAAAATGTAGAAATACTAATTACAATTGTGTTTTAGCCCTTGAATCTATATTAACATAATTTTGGTTTTCATTCCCTTAACTTTTGTATTAATAATGTTGGAAGGTTTGTTTTGAAGGGGGTGGGTGAGAATAAAACTGTTTCTCACTGTAATACTAGCCGTATTAAACCCTGTTGCGTATTAAACTCTGTTAGACTTCTCTAGTTGTGTATTTGCAGTTCAATTACTAAATGCCAATTACCAATACACAATTTATAACTATATAATGTTTATTTCTAGTGATGCATTTGATCTAAGATTTGGTATAGGTATATTAAGATTAAAGGAAGGTTTTGGTCTTGATGTTGATCATGAGGCAGATTTTGAACCAGACACACTTGATCCAACAGAGGATGGTAAGTTGATATTATGCCATTTCTTTAAAATTGTATGAAACTGACATATAGCCAAAAAGCCTGAATGATTTGCTTAAATAATTAGGCCAGACAAAAAAATATTCTTGTTCTCAGATACCACCGCATCATCAAAATTAGGCTGTGTCACGCATTTTTATTTTGATAAAAATGAAAATAAAAAATGAACTTTTACTCGTTTATATTTCTTGTGACCAAGGGAAGTAACTCTTTTGAATGTTTCTTGGTAACAGAAAATGAACACTAGACTGGACTGTCAAATACGTAACCATGGGGAATGCTATTGTTAAACAAATGTTAATTTATTATTTGCAAAGATGGTGACAATTATGCTGTCAATCTGTCTTTTTTTACGATTAAAATGCCTTATCTTGCCCCAAGAAATATGACTAGGAGAGAGATGACTCAAAATCCATGCTTTAACAATGAGTACGCCTTGTCGATACCACATAGAACTGATATGGTCGCCAAAATAAAAACCGGCGGATTTGAAAACATTTTCCCAGAAGTTAATGTAGGTAGATGAAGTCACAGAATTACTCGGCAGTATTTCAAATTTATACTTGTTTTTTGTTTTTCTTATATTAAGATTTGAATAAATATTAAATTTATAATAATATTGCGTGTTTCTTAAAAATGAGAAACTAGCTACAGTTTGACAGAATAAAAACAAAAAAACAAAAATGCCCTACCACATTAAATTTTTTTAAAAAGGTTTGTCTGAGAACCAGAATATTTTTTTTTGTGTGACCTTAGTTTTAACTCTTAAACTTTACTTTGCATTTTTTTATATGGTTCAGTTTTCACATGATATATTTCAAATTTTGCTAGATATGACTCACCTTAACAATGTCATGACAATACCTTGACTGCATTAGCCCACTTTGTGGTAAACTGGAGTAAACCAGATTTAAGTCATTTAAAAAAAAAGAGAATATTATCAAAAAATGTCTGATTTATAAAATGCGGTGTATTTGATGCTATTTAGTTAGTTTTGCAAGATATGTTCAGATATCTTCACTGGTGGAACAGAGTAGGTAGTCAAGGTATCAAATAGCATTTTGAAAATGGGTCTGTCCTTTCTACATGTCTGTCATTCTATTTTTTTTAAATTCAGTTTCTTTAATTGAATTTGAATCACAAAAAAAATGGCATGTCATCACATCTTTATTTTAGTGATATTTATACAAATTTAAGACTTTAATTGAAAAATTTGTTTATAGGAATTTTATTTCTAAGTAAAAAGGTCAAAGGTAATATATCACTATGTTGTTGTGGAAATATCAGGAGTAAACCTCATAATTACATGTACACACCTTCATTAATTTTTTATGATTTCAAAAGTAAAACATTTACCATTTAAAAGCTTACAGATTAGGAGCTAAAGAAGGACGACACTGAAGTTTCCATTACATTTCTGTTGTTTATCAGTTGTTACTATGTGTAACTGTTGTAATACTTGTTTACATTGACCATATCATGCACTGTATAATACGTGTTATCTATCTAAATGGTTTATCTCCCACAATTGTATATTGTTACGTTCATTATTCATTTATCACAATCTGTACACATATTTAATGTTTAATATTGTACCCAGTTCTAAAGCTTTATTATTCTTTGGCACACTTTAAAATTGACAGATCACAACAAACATTCTGTATAAGAAAAGTTTTAAAGTCAATAATTGAAAATTAAAATATGTTTTATTCAAAGATGTTTGCATCTTTGTGGATGTAGTAAATTTATTTTTTCTTATACCTACCAGTAATTCATGAATTTCTAGAATTAAATTATTTATTCAAAAGCTTTTTTGTTTTAAGAAATTATGTTTATAGGTTGGTAATAAAAAAAAACCCTGGATGTTTAATGTTTATCATGCAAGTCATATTTTATCTTGGGTTAAAATATTGACAATGTTATTTTAATAATAAGCTACCATATTCAACCAAATAAACACACATGCTCTAATGCAATTACATCCTTATTAATAATATATTATATCAACAATTGTTTACTATACTACAAGCAACTGAATAAACACAAAAAACATTGGATTTTAATCAAATTGTTGAAAAAAAAAAGCAAATGTACACATTATGTTGTTAATGCTTAGACTGCTTTATTGACTAACAGTGAGATTTTGTGAAAGACCATTTTCTCTTAAATTTAGTTGTCTTGATAGCAAATATTCAATACAATTTGATGCACTTCTGTTCGGGGAACACTAATAGTCCATATTAAAATGATACTGTATCTAAAATAGTCTTCTATAACAGTTAAATCTTCATTACTTGTAGACCAATAGACTGTGATATATAAAGTTATAATTATTTATTACTAGAGTGAAGATGTTTGAGATATACTGTGATATATGATATAAAGTTGTAATTATTTATTACTAGATGTGAGTGAAGATGATATAACACCAGAAGATACACCACCTCTTCTACAGGAGACTAAAACAACATCTAATATTAACGGTGGCGAACATAAAAACGCTAATAATGGTGGTGCACCAGTACCTAAACCTGACTTACAGATAAATAAAGAAGTTTTAAAAGCTATGAATAAATTTCATCGTGGTAAAAAGAAGGGAACAATAGATGTATGGTGGCTGTTTGATGACGGCGGTAAGGAACTTTGATAATATCAGATATTTTATGTTTGATTTTCAGATATATACACATCTTAATGTTATTACGACAAGGAAAGTACAAGGTGGTTATCAAACTATATCTGTTACGACTCTGTTATATACAGACTCTGTTACAACTCGGCTGCCCCGAGTAGAATCTTTGTAATGGCAGCCAGTAGGTACCAAGTCATTCAAGCAAAATTCACCTCCCTAGCATTACATACCTGACCATAGTAAAAACAAATACCTCTTAGGTCTCAAGTATTGTGTTGTTGAGACATTAAACCAAATTCCATTCCATTCCAAAGTCATGTTGGGTTGGAATCTCTGTATCCTTGAGCAAGATACTTTATATTAGTATTTGGTACCAGTTTGACTAGACACATTATTGTTATTATTATTCATCATCATCTTCTATAGTACTTCATTATATCCAGTGATATTTCTAAGTGCTTAACAAATGTCACATCACAGTTTGTAATAATATTTAAACAAGTGTGTTTTTAACTCCGATTTAAATTTAACAAAAGTTGAACTTTCTCTAATTCTCTAGTTTCAAACAGTTCTGTGTGGGTGGAACTCTTGTGAAACCATATAATAAGTTACCTGTTTTCATCTATTTATAACACACCCACTTTAATTATATTTATTGTCTAATTGACAGGTTTAACATTGTTGATACCCTACATTTTAACAACTAAATCTCACTGGGGTAATTGTAGATTACGTGTATTTACTGTCAGTAAGAAGAAAGGTGAAATAGACAGAGAACAACAACAGTAAGTTAAAAAAATCAAAAAAAAATCAATTTCACTATCAATGGGGAATATAATATTTTTACTTTGAGAAAATTAAAAATATTGGATTGAATAGTTATTATTTGTAAATTATAGCATTTTGATCTTGTCGACAACAAAAGTCATAAAGTGAGGACATAGGCAGTCACAGGTCCTATTACAAATTTTTGGATTATGTTTTCTAGCAACTTCAAAAACTTTCAGATAAATCTTTATATAACTGAATGGTCTAAAATTGGTTTGTGGGGATGAATTTTCATAGAGTGTGTTATTACACACACAAGAATAAAAAATACACCAAGATTTGTATAAGTTCAGTAACTTCATCAAATGATTATATGAAACTTAGACAAAGGCTTTAGTAAGGTCCAGTATGTTTACCAACTCAAAACTAATAGTCTGTTTTGCAGTGAATTTTGACTTAACTTTTTAATGACAATACTATTAATAAATTCATTTGGGTATTTTTCATTTTCTCATACAATAACACAAAAAAACTAGACAGAGTTTAATGGATGTGTATTCACTAATATAATGAGATAAGAATTGGATGTATCTTCAACATTTAAAATTTCAACAATATGGCCCTATTTGAAGTTGACTGAGTAGGAGTGAGACTCTAGGTTGATTGGTAACCCTTTTGCAATTTTGTGTTCACTATAGCAACAAGATTTGTATGTATATGATGTATATTTTTGTTTATTTTCAGAATGGCTACGTTATTATCAAAGTTTAGGATAGAATGTAAAGATATGAATGTTATAAATGTGTCAAAACCACCAAAAGAAGAAAGGTTAAAATTTATTATATATCAGTGTCCCTGATACATTTGAGGGATTTTTAAATCTCTTGCAAACTAAAATATTGTGAAAGTTAAATTTCTAAAAGGAATATCAGTCCAAAAATGGTTCAATTCCGTTACATATTCAAAAAGATTTGATGAATTGAAAATTTTGTCAAAATTTGGCATCATCTGCAGAGTATAAATTGGATATGGTCAAAACAAGCACCATTTATAATCTTCACTAAAATAAAATCTTTTGATGGGTCTTTTTATACGCCCACATTTTCATGTGGACGTATATTGTCGTCGCCCCTGTTTGTCCGTCCGGACGTCCATCCACAATTTGTTTGTGGACACCCTACAGGTCACAATTTTTATCTGATTTCAACGAAACTTTAAATATATCTTTATCTCCATAAGATCTCGGTTCCTTTCGATATTGGCATGTATCGGACCATAACTTCATGGATTATGGCCCCTGATTGTACGAAAAATCACATTTTTAGCTTGTGGACACTCTAGAGGTCACAATTTTGATCCGATTTTGATGAAACTTGAAATGCTTGTTTAATACCCAAGGATCTTGGTTCCTTTCGATATTCGCGCATATCGGATTGTAACTTCCCGAATTATGGCCCCTGATTGTAAGAAAAATCACCTTTTTTTAGCTTGTGGTCCCTCTGGAGGTTACAATTATTATCCGATTTAAAAAAAAACGTTTGATTATATCACTGTTACGTCGTTATGAAGGTTGAGTACAAATGTTATGAAAATCGGACCAAAATTGACGGACAAAATGCCCGCCGCTTGTAATCGAATAGTGTAAAAATATGGTGTATCAAGGTTATGGAGCCTGTAGAGGTCATAATTTTAATCCGATTTTGATGAAACTGGAAATTCATGTTTATAACCCAAAGATCTTGTTTTTTTTCAATATTTGCGCATATCGGATCGTAACTTCCTGAATTATGGCCCCAGATTGTACGAAAAATCGCCTTTTTTGCTTGTGGTCCCTCTGAAGGTCACAATTATTATCTGATTTCAAAAAACGTGTGATTATATCACCGTTACTCCGTAATGAAGGTTGAGTTCAAATTTTGTAAAAATCAACCCAAAACTGACAGACAAAATGGCCGCCCCTCGTTCTCAAATAGCGTAAAAATATGGTATATCAAGGTTGTGGACCCTATAGAGGTCACAATTTTTATCTAATTTTGTTGAAACTTGAAATGTAAGTTTATAACCCAAAGATCTTGGTTCTTGTCGATATTTGTGCATATCTAATTCTAATTTCCTGAATTATGGCCCTTGATTGTAGGAAAAAATGACTTTTTTTTTAGCTTGTTCTCTATCCATCTCTTGAAAATGTGGGCGTTTCCTGCCTGGCAGCTGCTGGTTAAACCAATTGAATCGAGTTATTTCCCCTGAACAATTAATTAATTAGTCATTGTTGTAAACGACCGCAAAAATTACTGGTGCGGTGTTTGTACCTTAGTCTTAGTGTGTGTTTTTAGTTTTAGCGTGTTTTGAATGATATGTATGCCATTAACTCTCCATGAGTCCTGTCTGTATGGATAAGGGTACAGTCCTTATTTGAATGGAAAATAGTTTTGTTTTTCAAATAATTACTCTTTTTTTTTATTTGACAGTGTTCGAGATTTTAATTCACGATTGAGTGATTGGATGTTAGATGAGAGTAAAGGTGAAACATCAGAGAACTGTCCATGGAAAACGTCTGCTAATGAATTAGAAACGCTGAAAGATAAAGTAAGAATTCTATTCTATTTTTTATTTCAGTTAATTGCATATCGTAGTTGTCTGATATATATGTCTGTACAAGTCAAAAAATTTTGGTTTTCTATCCTCTTCCTAAAAACATAATTCTATCAGTTTTAAAATGACCTTAATGGTTATATATTTCTGACTGTTAAAACTGCCAGATCCATTATCACAGTTAGAGGGTACAATATCAATAATTTTCGCCAGCCCTACTGCTCAGAAGATTTAGCTGCTGTGGACATATGTTTTGTTGCCTGACAACCCAATCATTAAAATTTATATTGGTTAACTATCCTTTTGACAGTAAGAACCTTATTAAGTTGCAACAACTATTATAAAATCTTGTTAGCACCTTATAGATTCCAATTCTGATCTGATCTTTTCAAATTTTGAGAGTATTTGTAATTCATAAATGCAAGGACAGCTTGGCTGCTGGGGGGGGGGTGTATGTTTTATTGACTGGCAACAATTGTTTATTTCAGACAAATCGTCATATACGTTTACGTGAACTAATGATGGAAAATTCAAGGGATGCATCTTTAATTGTGATGTAAGTATTAAATTAATAGACTTATTATGTATACTTATAGTTATTAATATATTCATTTGATGAATATCCAGTTTACATTGTGAATTTTTCGATTTAAGTATTATATATAATTAGTCTTGTTTAATAGTTGTTGTTGTTTATTACAAGTTTAACGTTCAGTACATAATTAATGATATATTATTGACAGGTTGATTTTAATTATTAAGATTATGTTCATGAAGCAAAAAGGGTATACACTTAATATGTGCCAATGTTCTGGTAACTTGTCAACAGTTCTTCTGTTAGGGTGACCCACCATAAATAAATATCTCCAAATATCTCGACAATTACGCCACAATATTTATATATATGCCAAGCCTCAAATCAGTTTCACACAATTATAGTCACTAAATAAACGATCATGTTGTACTTAATAAGCTATGACCATTAATCATCTATAAATAATAGACTGAAAACTGGTTCCAAGTGTCGTCTATAACATCCAGACACTTTTGAGTAAAAGATAGGTTACGTGCCCTTGTTTTGAAATTAGTCTCGCTTAACCAGTCTATCGACCATTCTACGTCTGATTGACGGGTCGGGATAATCAAGACTACTTTTTTATGAAACATAACAGAAAGCTAGAACAAGAAATTGAATTTAGAAATTAGCACGTTAGCTAGCTCAACAATTGTTTTAAGAAGCTTGTAAAAGTAAAATGAAACCACTGCTAGTATCATGTTCCTGTCTAACCTGAGTGTTTCAGAGATATTATTTGTACTAAACCAAAAGATGCCGCTCTTAACGGTACAGTTAATGATGAAGCGATTTAAAAAATGAAACGAACGTAATTTCTAAATCTGCTGTAATAACCAAGAAGCTTAATTTTACTGCTATTCAAAATCGTCAACAATAAATTTTTTACGGCTGTAATAGTTGATAGATTTGTAGAGAATTGCACGTGCCATGGCTATTTATAGTATCATACTGTCAGAAAGTTTGTCTCGACACCGCGAATGTGCACGCTTCAGTGGTAGTCTCGAACTATCAGCGGTGGACTGTATTTCAGTAGAGGGCATGGGTCACCCTACTTCTGTAGTATAATTTTATTCTACGTATGTTCAAAAGCTGTGCATCAGTAATGTAAATTGCAGCCTTCAGACATTTTAGCAACATTATTTGAATACCGGCACATTATTTTAATATCATACAAATTTAATAAAAGTTTCTTCTTTACAGGACACTGCCTATGCCAAGAAAAGCTGGTTGTTCCGCTAGTATGTATATGTCATGGATAGATACATTAACAAGAGACATGCCACCTATATTATTATTACGAGGCAATCAAACCAGTGTTCTTACATTCTACTCTTAGTTGACATCCTGAAATATGAAGACTGCGCATTTAATTAATTGTTAATGTTAATAGTGCTGATTGATTGCTACTTACTTAGTTATCAAATAGAAATAAGTCATATACTTTTAAGATTTATGTCTGTGATGAAGTGCAATCATATTTTTGTTTTTGAATATAAGAATATAAATAGCCCCAATCTTGTAATATTTGGATGGCTGATATATTATTTATATGCTGCTCATTATTAGGCCATTAAAGGAAATATTCTATTTCTCAGATATCTCTGTATAACATGTAATTTCAAAAAATATAAAAACATCCTCATTGATTACTGTTTGTTCATATTTACTTGGTAAAACTGGAAGTGTACCCTAGGTTCAGTCATCTAGTAACATCTTCTGATTAATGTTTTTGACAATCGAAAATGGTACTGGACAGTTGTAAATTGACTCATTGTTAAAAGAAATGCTGACCATCAATTTGTCTGGTTAATTTTTAAAGATCTTTTAAGTCTTTTGTGGATGATAATTATACTCCATTGAGGAACATTCATATTAGAACTTCCAAATCTCTCTTTATGCTTTCATCTGTAGACTGAGACGAAAATAAGTTACTGTTTGTAAAGAAACTTAAATTCACCTTTTTTGAAGTATTACCCGAGAACTAGTATATTTTTTGTATGCCGTAGTTCTGTATATAGGACTGAGATAGTCTCTATAACTGCTGGGAAAGCCAGATATAACATAGCTTTAGCCAATATGCAATCATCTTGTATATATGTATATATGTAGGTATTTTTTTAATAGAATAGTTGACCAAGGGCATTAAACTGTTATAATAGTGTACATTGTTTGCCAATCTGATTAAAACACAAATCCCATTTGTTTCTTTTTTTTATAGTTCAAAATTTCTTTTACTTGTCTGTACTACACTAGAATAGGGAAGCGTTGTTATATAATCGCAGTCTGGATGATGTGAGGGATTAAATAAGGAAAGGTCTGTTCTGGCAAGTTTTTTTGGCGTGAGGTGCACAGAATTGTAGGCAACCCACAAGAAACATCAACGCTGATTGGTTAATCAAATGTCTGACATCACAGGGTCAAAAGCCACTTGTATGACTGCTGACGTGACCTTCCAACCAGTCAGATCTTCATGTAGTATAGACCATCGAAAGTATAAAAAATGAAACAAGATATAGATCTGTATTAATCAGATTGATTGTTTGCTTGATAGAGTGTCTTTCAAAACTATAGTACACCGTATTGTACTGTTTGTGAATTGTCGTAGAGCTATCAAGGAAATTAAAAGAAACACCAAGTAATCATGGATAATAAATGAAATGATAATTTAATACAAGTCAAAAGTTTGCTTTTATGGTGTGAAATGTTTAGTTGCATCAATAGAATGTAAACTTAGTGTTACTGGTAGTCTTGAAATGATTCTTGTACTGTGTTGATGAAAATTAACCCATTCTTTTCTTTTGGTTGTTTTTTGTGTTAAGTATCTTTTTATTATTTCATTTTATAATTAGAAGTGTGACAGATTTGATTTATATTGAATGGCTACTTTAAAGCAAATTGTTTCAGTCAAGATTGGTGAATTTTGGGGAATTTCAAAATTTTCTAACCAAACTTATCCTGCTATAAAAAAAAACCAACACAATTACAAGCTATCATGTGCTTAGATCTTTTGATTGTGAAAGCCATTGTGACTCGTTGAGTATGGTGCTGGCTCAGAATCCAGGAGATCCTGGTTTTCATTATGGTATTGAATCAGAAAGCTGCATGGAAATTTCAAGCCAGGTTTCCCCCTTGTCAGTAGTGCAGACAAGGAAAAGTGTCTAGTTGTTCGAATGGGACAAAAGAACATTGACTACCTGTTAAAGAGTAGGCCAAAGCACTGCTGACCCTCACTTCACACTGCATAACAGTTTCTGCAGAAAAGTTTGACATCATTTCATTGTAAAGCTAAGAAATATTGTGTAAATTTAATCAGTGCTAGGTTACATTTAGTTTCTTGACATTTAAGTTTAGGGAATATTTTGTATAACAGTATGTCTTATTGATTTATTTACACATTTAGATAAGTGCTATTTTCTGCCATTTTAATAAATTAGATAATTAAATGAACAATTTTCATTATTTTGATCATATTGCATTGCATATTTCTCTTGTTAATCTTCATTTTGTTATAAATGAACTTAGTTCTAAACAGGTCACAGTTCTATGTAATACAATTACTGTTTATTACCGAGCACTGTTTCAACTAGACTTCTCTAGTCTTTATCAAGAATTGTGTCCTGTGTATTTCTAGTTCATTTATTAAATACCATTGGAAACAATTGAATCTTATTTCAGTTTTCATGTAAAATTTGGGCACCAAATATATAGTGTACATGCACAATTATATGTAATATGCATGATTAAATCAGTTCTTATGCAATCAAGAAATATTGGTGGATAATATGAATAATAAATCCGATAATCTAGTGATAAATTTATATTGCACATTAATTTTTTAGTTAATTCCAAACTTTATATAAAAATTCTGAAATTTTGTAAAAGAGCTGATCAATTTATTCATACAATAAATTTACATAACCGCAAAAATATAAAAACGATTTTGAAACCAAATTGAAAATGCTTTAATTTGTCAGTAATCAGTTTATTTGGAGACCATGGTTAGATATGCTTTCATCCCATAGTTGAAATGTGTTAAATATTTTTAAAGGGACCCTCTTTAAAATGTTGTTTCAAGTGTCTTTACATTGTTATCATTATACATAGAATAACTGTATATATACCAGAACAGAAACTTACTCATATTTTTGTTACGCATTTAGTGTATATAGTATATTGTTGTAATGTATAATTACTTGTATAGAAGATGTCTAGTTTTGTATACATATTTATAGTGTTCAGTATATTAATTATGATGTACCCAGATGGGTAGAGGTTAAATTATAAATGTTAATATTCTTATCTGAATTATATTAGATCTATTTAATACAACTGTTTCACAATCATTTATTTCTGGTCAGTAGACTGTGACGGTGTCTTTAATTGGTCTGGTTTATTTATATAAACATAAAACAGGATATGGATTTCCAATTTGGCTTCTTGAATTTGAAGTAACACATTTGGTAGAGTGATATTAAATATTTGATTTGACCTCTATCCATTACTTATCTTAACATTGTCAAGTGTGAAAAGTTACATACTAACATCAAGTGACACATTTAATCAAGATGTGATGGTGTGATTGTAGACAAGCTGTTTGTTACAGCAGTTACGAGTATATAAGTTGTATTACTTATCACACTTGATGGTTGTGAATATTCCTATTACTAGTTATAAACATACTACGCAAATACAACTAACTCACACACACACACACACACACACACACACACATTACGCAAATATGTCATACTTGCAATTTACACAAGAGCTTATGCCATGTCCTTATGAACGAATATATAGTTCAAATTTTAAAAAAATGAGTTTTGGAGGTGATATATATATTTAGTTAATGACATATTTATTAAACATAATAATAGTTATTACTTGTTTTAGAACAATATGGTTTGGTTGATACTCCATAAAGTTTATGAAAGATTGACTTATACCAATTACTCAGGTATATAAAATGAGTAGACTATTAAGAAATTGGGTTGTGAAATGACTACTCTAGAAAACTTTTTTTTTTTTTTACATTGTTCAAAAGCTAGATAACATCCAACATCATTCAATCTTTAATTATTGACCTACAATATACTCTGGCCATTTTTTTTAATGGAACCAAATTAGTGGAGAAAGTTGATGATATTTCCAACAAGAAGGGAAAATAACAGAATTATACATTGCATTGTAATATTTTATTTGAAAGGACAATAATTTAGTCTTATTATTCAGAATCTCGTTTCCAGCTTTTATATTTAAACATATTTTACGTTATTTTCTTGTTCAGTTATTATATTCCAAGTTATTTACTTATTTTATTTTTTACTGCCATTTTATTCCAAAAATATACATTAATATTTTGAGAAAGGAGATAAATGTAGACAACACAGTTGCTTTACATTCCCATTCTGTCTATAGTCTATTCTATCTATAGCAGTGAGAGACTGTATTAGAATATTTGTTAATACTTAACATCCTAGTTAGAGTATAATGCCATGCTTTGCCAATACTAACTTTAATGTATTTGTTAGCAATTTTTATATGCACACGTTAAAATGTGGTCATATATTGGCCTCCCGTATCCGTAAGTCTGGCTGACTGGCATCCACAAACAATTATGGCCCTTGATCACTTTGAAATATCTTGTGGATGCTCCACAGGCCAAAGTGACCATTCTATTGACTTTAGTCTTTAGATTGATACAAGATCTTGAGACGAACAATTATATTGATTTTCAATGATTTTTGATAACTTGAACAGCTAAATATGAAATGTTTTGTATACTAAACATTAACATACGATAGAACTAGAAGCCAAACAAATTCTAATGATTTTCTGATAATTACTTAAACATACATTATGCAAGAGCTAAATCTGTCTATTGCAGGTCTTTCTTTAGGCCTAAAATGTTATCTAGATTATTAATTAGACATTAATTAACTTATCCAGACCATAATCAACTCTAGATGGCATCGCTAGCCTGCGATCTTACGTGGATTGTGATCCGATTTACTGCATAACTTTTCTTCTCGATTAAATGGATAATCGAGACTATGCTGTTTAACGTACTGACTTTAGTAATGATGACCAAGGCTAGGCAGAAATTTTATTCGCTTAGTTCTCACTCCATAGTGGATCAATTTGAATGAAATTTTCAGCAAATTGCCTTTACGTTATCTATTTTTTAATTATTATAGTGAGAACTGCCAACTCGTTATCGAATCTCCCATAATGTATCTTTAATGAGTTGTTACTCTTAAGAAGATTTTAGTGTATTATAAATGTTTCATTACCGACAAAAGAACAAATATGTGACAACTCTTATTGACTGTCCGGGCAACTTAGCTGCTGTGGGCGTATGTATCGTTGGCTGGCAACCCATGTTTTTAAGGATATTGGTTGTATTAAAAAACACTAAAGTATCTATCGAAAATATATAATTACATTAATCAATATGAAGTTTGACTAGTAGGCAGCTGGACAGGTTATTGTTCTGTAATTCTACTGGACAAAAAAAAAAAGAATGATGCCCCTCCCCTGTATGGTTGGCCAAAATTTGTATTTCTATATAGAGATAGAGAGATTGGGTTTACTGTCCATGCAATACAAACTAGGTCATTTTGGGACTAACATATGGTTCTATTTTATTTCAATAATTAGCTGTGGGAAAAAAACAGGACCTGGAGTTGAAAACCCATGAGGTTGGACAAGCGACCCTACTTCTTGTCACATACAAACAGGATATCAAAATATGCCACTTGACTCAGTGACAGACAATATGATCTAACACTTACACGTTGAACCATTCGGCCACCCACCCCTTATTTCTATATACCACATGCTTCTAAAATAAAAACTGTATCTGTTGTAGTTTAGGGTGAACAGGTGTATAGGGTGCTAGTTATCAGTATTGTAATATTGGTGTATTGGTGAACAATGTCTAATATAGGCAGTGTGTAATAATCATACCATAATACTTTCTAGTTATTGGGACCATGTAACAAATCGGAATGTTTATATTTGTCTTATTTTTATTCTGTTTGAAAATATTGAGTTAATATAAATACTGAATACTTCCTTTAACTGGTGTGTGTAGCTTTAAATGTTTGTTGGTTGGTCGAAATTGAATTTCTTTACATACATTTTTTTCTTTTTATTTGGATGTACTGTCTCATAAATATTAAATTCTGTGCAACATAAATGACAGTGTCTCTTAGTCACTGATGGGATACTCTTTAAAGTATTCTTATTTATTTTTTGTATAGACTTTAAATTAATTTCTAGTATTACTTGTATTGCAATATTCTAAATCTATCAATGTTTGGGTTCGGATTTGAATTTTTATGAAAAACAAACAAAAATACAACTTTTTATGACAGGAATTATCTACAGAAATAAACAGAATAATGCAAACGCTTTTTGTTTTCTTATATTTACCCCAACTATATATATATATGCACCAAATATTCAGGGCAGAGATTTAAAGGGAATTGATATAGCATAAAAAAACAAACAGGTTTATTTTTGCTGTTATCTGATTTATAAATCATATCTCAAATGATAAGCACAATCCGACTTTTGAAGTGACCCACTTTTATTTCTCATGTATAATTGCAAATAATCATAGGCATAGGAGCTCAAAGTAATTCAGGGGGGCATAAGAGAAAATTGCCCGAAATCAATACCGTTTTTTCGGGCATACCTATCATAAGAGAGCTTCCGGCATGCAGTGGACAAGAAAAAGACGAGAAAATACTTTTCGGGCAGTGTGCATCTCATAGAAATAAGTTAGTTATATTTTTTCTCTAAACGTTAATAGAAAAAAAAGGTCGTCGAATTTTTCATTGCCCGATGCAAATAATGGCAGTCTTTTTCCTGTTTATTGTCCCCCGCCTTTCGAAGAAAGCAGGGGACTATTGAAATGGGTTCGTCGGTCTGTTTGTCTGTCTCTCGGTCTGTCACACTTTTTGGGACACAATAACTCTCCTAATTGAGCTAGAATGTGCAAACTTGGTGTAGGTGTTTTTTAGGTCAATGCCGTGATGGAGTTCGATCATGAGCATTTTCTGCTTGGGGTAAGCAGAGATAAGCAATTTGATTGGCCGAGACTTTGGAACACAATAACTCTCCTTCCTAATTGAGCTAGAATGTTCAAACTTGGTGGAGGTGTTTATTAGATCAATGCCTTGATGATGAAGTTTGAAGATGAGAGTTTTTTTGCTGAGGGTAAGCAGAGATAAGCAATTTGATTGGTCGATGCTTTGGTGTATAGATTTATCACATAAATACCTTGACTAAGTTTGATAATTAGCATTTTCTGCTCGGGGTAAGCAGAGTATTAAGCAATTAGGTAAATGCCTTGATGGAGTTCGGTGATAAACATTGTATGCTTACGATAAGCAGAGATAAGCAATCTGATTAGTTGGTTATAATTAAGTGAGAGTGATGAAAGTCCGAGTATAGATTCATCATATTATTACCTTGACTAAGTTTGATGATGAGAATTTGCTTAGGCTAAGGAGCAAAATAGCAATTTGTTTGGTCAAGACTTTGGAACATAACAACTCTGCTTTTAATTGAGGTAAAATGTATAAAATTGATGTAGATGTTCAATGATTAGCGTTTCAAGCTAAAGCTAAGCAGAGCTAAGCAATTTCATTGGTCGATGCTTTGGGACAAGATAACTTTGATTCTATCTGTTAGAGCGTGATGAAACAGTGTATATAGTTGATAATCAGTTTGATTGCTCGATAATTTCGAAAAAAAATAAATGTGCGATTAATTAATATGTGTCATCTATTTACTTTGGGATTTCGGCGGGGGACATCAGCCTCACTGTTGGCTTGTTTTCATAGGATCTTTAATAAATAAAATCTAAAAATATTCCAGTTTAAATGTATCTAATCTTGGGGCAGATATTATTATTATTATTATTGTTCGATTTATATAGCGCTTCATTACACGTGAAGTGTTTCTAAGCGCATATCACAAACATATACTTCAAACACACAGAAACAATCAAAATTAGGAGAACATAATTAAACACAGCTGCCTGTTAGGCGCTATTATTCAAAGGTTTATATCCAACAAATCAACCGGCTAATCTCTATATTGAACTCAGTCGAGGTATTACCTGATGAACACCTACACCAAGTAGAGTTCAAAAATAAAAAACGAAGTTTAAAAGAATCAGCTTCATTAACAAAAATTAAACAATCAAAAACTAAACAGATAAATCAAATTCAAACGAAACAAATAAAACAAAGAAAATGAAAAGAGCAGTTCATTACCATTCTACATTAACAAAATAAAGGAAAACAACTTGTGAAATTTTTTTCAAAAAATAAGAGCAACGTAACACTAATGTTAATACTTTTTTAACGAACATATTATAAATATAATTAATTTTACCTATAATATCTATTTCAGAAATCAGACTTTATTTTGCAAAAAAAATAATCCAAAGAGTTGTGTACGACCATTATCAATCACTTCATCAAAAAAATGGCAAATACCTTAGAAGAAGCACCCCAAAGACATGGTCAATCTTACCACCATTCTTATTCAAATTTTTGATTTGCGGAAGGTGGGTACCAGTGCCATACAAAAGACCCTATTTCAAATTCCCGCGCTTTCAGATTCTTATCATATCCTTCTTTTTGACGTGAATGATATATACTTTAACTTTAATTTTCAACAATGAAACAAATATATTTACACTTTGACTTCCATGAAGTTTAAACCAATGGGCTAAAGCAGTCAAGATATGAGAGGTATACCTTCACTACAGTAAAAAAAAGTTTCTAGGATTAACACTGTTTACGATAATATCCTCGACTCGTCAGTTTATTTGCCAATTCCCTATAAACTTACTATGGCATATTTATATTCTTCATTTATCCTTAATAACATGTAGGGTTCTCGCAATACTATGCTTAGGCCTATACAACTAATCTGGACTGTCGGAACAGTGTTTTGTTTTGTTTTGTTCTCTTTGTTGGGAATGATAGGTGTTTCCACATATCGGAAAGAAATTAAAACTGTGCTACACTAGACAATATTGCACAAACATATGGGATATAGTTCCTTCAGAAACATTTCCTACAGGAACTATATATGGGATGGAAATAATGTCAAAAACTGCGGATGTTTATAGGCCTATACATGCAACTAAATTGATCTTTTTTAGTCCCGTGTTTAAATGTAAGGCAAGGCCGCAGATCCCGGGGGGTGGGGGGGCGCGTCCCCCCCTGGATTTTCACTGGGGGGGATTTCATATGCCTCGCCCCCCCCCCCCGAAAAATGCATCGATAAAATTTCAAAAGTCTTATTTTCAGCCCGGGAAATGTAGCCTATATTTCCGAACATGCCGATGTACAATGCCCAGAAATGGTCTCAGATAGCATTTTGAGGCATCCAAATTTTAAAAAATCTTCCGGGGGAGGCACCAAGACCCCCGCTTAATGCGCGCCTGTAGTGCACGTGGCGTATGCCTTCGCCCGCCGTACTCTGTCAGCGTCTCCCAAAACTTGAGTCCTATTTTCAGGCTGAGGATATTTCCCCTTGGTTAAAAAATGTCCGGTCTTTGATGTAACCCAGATCTGAGAATGATCTCTTCATGACCTCAGCAGTTTATGCTCAGAGCTGGCCACTTGAGAAATTATTCATCACATTTTCATCCGTGACCGGCAATTTAGTAACCTACCTATATCTCTATATTGTGAGGACTACGCTTTGATTAATCAGTCCATATCATCTGTGGTTTACTGTTTATATTTTTAAAGTTTAATAATAAATATTTTTAACTTTTGTAATATAACCAGTCCGCCTGCACTCTAAGCCCTCATAACTACTTTTTACCGTATTCGTGTTGATTATTCTCGCTCAAAAACGACAATTTATTCTCGGTACGTTCATCTCTGCAGAATGCTCAGAAATGGTCTCAGATAGCGTTTTCAGGCATCCTGCTTTCAAAATTTTATGGGGGAGGACTCCCAGACCCCCCTGCAGAACGGTTCGCGCCTGCGGCGCTAGCCGTGTGTCGGGCTCCGCCCGCCAACTCCGTCCCCCCCCCCTAAAATTTAATAAGATCTGCGGCCATGATGTAAGGTAGGCTAACAAATTTCAATTTTTAGTTCTCTTGCCGTGGGTTTATTTCGAGAAAGGGATCAAATTTGTTTTTGCATCGCTTCGCTCGGCAACAACCTCGTTTGCACCACCACCATTTTCAGAACAAACGAAAAGCAAACGAGAGAGAGAGAGGAATTTGGTTTAACGTCCACTCGACACAAACTAGGTCATTTCGGGACTAACAATATATGGTTTAATTTTATTTCAATAATTCGCTTGCGCGTAGGGTTCTTTAGCAATTGGGGGGAACTTTTATAATATATATAGACCTTGTCTGTTGTTCAATCCATTTCAAATCAGTAAATTATTGTTGAAACTAAATGATGAAATTTGCATTTTGGAGATGATCAAAAGCAAACGATTTGGTTTTTCTAAAGTTCATAGACTATGGGAAACAACTCTTATCTCTCTCTGTCTCTTATCAGGACTAAGACTAGTAATTATTTCCAAGTTATAAATAGACAATTTTTCCCTTAATTTTTTTCTCCCCTCTTCCTGCATTTTTTGGTTGACTTTTTGGTCTAGAATTGGAGAAAAGGGATCAAATTTGCAATTTCATAGCAGTTTTGGGTAATACTGATGATATTACAGCGGGGGGATAGGGGGTGTAAAGTGTCTTTCTGCAGAGCAATCATTGTGTCGGAAGTGAGAATTTCACCCCAGTCAACTTCAAATTAGCAAAAAAATCTAAATGGTCAACCCCCTACAAAATTATGATGAGGAGATTGCCAAATGTTGTCCCCATTGTGCTTATAAAGATTGGAACCAACGGAATGTTGAGCAAAAAGCTACAGTCTGTGATGTTACAGTCATTTAACATTGAAGTCAATGGGTAAATAATTGCTAGTCTGATTCCATCAATACTTTTGATTAGTAATATCTCCCATAAAATGATCCGGACACAGATCACCAAATATTCCTACGCCGTCACCACGAAACAAGGGCCAAAGCTATTTTTAGTCTTCCTCTCCCTTTTTCCCCCTTTTGCATTGCGATTTTTGTTGACTTTTTGGTGTAGAATCGAGGAAAAGTTTTTGAAAATACATTTTCTGCCAGGTTTTGGTGAATATTCATAATTTTGATGCGGAAGGATACAAGAGTTGAGAGGTTGGTTAGGTTGAAATGTAGGGCCTGAAATTGCATGTTTACTTATCTCTACTTCCAGCTTGTGTATCTCGAGTTTTTCATGAAGAACCTCATACGTGCTTTTGGGCAAGTGGTTGCCACATGTTGCTCCATCTGTGGTAGAAAGCGTTCTACCCAACGAAAATTTGGGGAAAAGTTAGAGCCGGTCTAAGTTATGAGAATTAACATTGGAGTCAATGGGGAAATATTTAGTGATCTGTGTCCATCCGGAGCCCGTAGGGCCGATAACTCTATTTGTGTGTACGTGGTAAAGTCTGGACAATGAAGACTTGTTTACAACTACGAAGTTAGTTTCAACGTTGATAAAAAGCATTTTTAAATCGACTAAAGTTTCTGTTTGTTTATAAACAAAATGGACCCAATTGAAGTAAATGAAATTCAAGGTGTTTGGTCATACCTAAAGACTGTAAGTAATAAGACTGTTTCAACTTGGTAACCTGTAAACAGTGTAATGCTAATAATATAGTAATGGCAATGTTCATAATATTTATTTTTTGGTCCATGTTAGTAACCATGTTTCTTGCGTATCTAATCACATGGAACATGTAAAATCTCTTTAAATTTAGATAAAGAGCGGACTGTTCTTGTTATAATAATTTAAAAAAAAAAAGACAATGAAAAATGACTATTGAAAATTTCAGTCAAATCGCTTTATTCGGAGCGAAGGTTTTTGACAAGAGGTAGCCTATGCTAGAACTAGAATATTATTTGATTAAGTACCGGTACGCTCGATCGTTTCTTTCTTTATTTGGTATTTATTTATAAAGACCTTTCACCATATCGGTTAGAAATCAAAACTACCTATGGACGATGTTGCACAAACATATGAAAAAGAAATAAGAATTTGAAGAACGTCATAAACAGATTTCACTGAGCTGGTCGTTCAGCCAAGATATTATTAGTATTATCACTGTTTACATGTATTATTATTGTTTCTTGTACAGTATTACTATTAGTATTAGCCATTGTCATTATATTCATTATGTATAATGTTTTGTTCATATTTGTAAAATCGTATCTTATCTTATCCACAGGAGGCTGACCTTACTATCCGTATATATATGCATACACCATGTCCAACCAGACAATATATAATAAAAAAGATCACAGGAGTCTGACCTTCTATCCGTATATATATGCATACACCATGTCCAACCAGACAATATATGTGCATATATATACGGATAGAAGGTCAGGTTCCTGTGTCTTATCTTACATAAACATCAAAAATGTTTAATTGTACTTATCTTTGCTCAACCTGTTGGGACACAAGAAATAATTAAGCTTATGCAATCAAAGAAGCATATGTAAGATTTAGATAAAGAGATGGTCGTTCTTGCTATAATAGTTTAAAAACAGCTTATAAAAAATGAACACATTGAAAATTTCAGTCAAATTACTTTATTCTTAATGAAATTAGGAATGTTTGAAGTTTTGATAAAATTTAGACTGAATAGTCTTGATTGTCAAATACCATTGCTACGATAATATTAATAAACAAAGTCTTGAATATCCATTTTAATGTTAAATTATTAAATGTTGTGAGTGCTAACCCATTTAAAATATCACAGCCATCCTGTACATGGCTTAGAGAGTTGATTATGGTCTTATCATGTCAATAAATGTCCAACTAATAATTAATATAAGAGAAAAAAGACCTGCTGTTGGCAGATTTAGCTTTTGCATAATGCATCTCTTAAACTGAGGTTAAGAATTATGTATAAAATCTGTTACATTCATGTTCGTAGGCAAGATATCAAATTCAGGGGCAAATAACTTGTTTGAAACCGATTCTTGGTCGTATAGTATATATTAAAAGAAAGGTTAGAAAGAATTTGCCAAAGAAAACTGGGATCAAAGTCCTCGACCATAGATTCTGTCAATTAGTCACAATACTACTGAAACGAAATGATGGATGGAAGATGGAGCCCCGTTTCAATAACCCTCCCTAACTTAAAGTGAGGGATAATGAGAAAGCAAGTTCATAGTTTGGTAGAAGACAATAAAAATATGCATGTTCATTACTAACAACAAAAAAATCTAATTGTAAAATATATATGAGTAGGATAGAGCAAGAAAAGTTATCCCATGATTGTCAATTATTATCACCTGCTTTTTGGGCTTCTGATTATAGATTGATTGGTCTGATAATTGGTTAAAATATTTGGGAGGATTTCATCTACTGTGTATAGTTCTAACTGTATTAACCAGACATAGTACAACTATACAAGCTTTTTATTTTGTATTTTTATGTGAGTATTAAATTTATTTATTACTGGTATATTAATTGTATGATTCAAGATTGATATGTAATGTAGCCAAAGGCTCTTGTTTTTAAATTTAAGAAAACTTTATGATGTGTACCAAATAATTAGCCTACAATACAATCCCTTCGTTCTACCCGAAAGTGACACATTAAATATCCAATCAAAAGTACTAATTCCCTATATTTGTCTATCTTTTACTATTTTTCAGTATTAGCAATATATTCAGCAGAATATATAAATGAATGGGCAGCCACTAATTATAAGTATGTTTTTGTTTCTTCTCCATAATATGTCAAAAACCTATAAGATAGATTTTATAAATATATATTTACAGTTTTTTTGGAAACAGTACCATAAATATAGCAAAAAAATATAATGAGTTTGATTTCGAGCCATGTTTGAATCTAATTTTTTGAACACTGTTAAAGGGTGTATGGCTCTTTTTTTTTAGCCTTGGAATAGACAAAAATGATTCTAAAAGCACATATATAATATGAATGTATGTAAAGTGATTTATATTCAGTTTTTGAAAAAATATTTTAATTTCTAATCATTTATGTTCGGTGAAATACATGAACAGTTCAAATTGAACAGCAGTTGTTTAATTCTGCTTAGTGCATTCTACACGTTTTTTAAAATTATTATTTTGTTGTTTGTGAATCAGCCTTTACTAATTACTTCACATTGTCTTGTAGGATATGTTTTTATTTGTTCATTACAAAATGGCACCCAAAACGTGTACTGATTATAAAATGTTAAGTGTCTTAAATATTGGATATCAGGATCCAATAGTTTCACAGCAAGATAACAACATCAATATTGATTGAAATTGATCAATATTGAATTCTAATTTGTGTTTTTAATTTCAAATATTATGGAAAATATTGAGTTAGAGACTTAGCTCCTTTAACTATACCTTACCTAAACTCTTAGTCTTAATTCTTGTTCAAAGATAATGTGAGTGGTGAACAGATTCTGGCATTTAGACAATGGTTGTGCAGTAAAACTTTTTTTCAGATATAAATTAAATAGCAGAATATATTGCAAATGTCATCATTTATTTTGAATAGATTAAACAAATGACTTTTTTATAAAAAAAAAAAACCCTCTTGTTTGTAAAATAAATTTACCATTATTACTTTATATATATATTTACAGGTTATTTTCTAAACAACAGTATTTTGATAGTAATGGAATGTTTGTATCTATAGTATATTCTTGTCCTATATTATTTAACTGTTTAGTAATTGTGGTAAGTATATATATCTTTTATAAAAATTGAAATATCTTGTAAAACCATTAATGGAACAGAATTCTATTAAAAACTTAACAGAATTACCAATATTTAAACAATCAAATAGCATTAACATCATAATGATTGGGAAAATAGCATGGATGCTGTTTTGTCTGTATATGCCGGACATGTTCTACGCAAGTTGGCAAATATCCGACCAGACATAATATGCCCATTCTGATATCAAGATATCATGTACCAGAGAAACAAGTGTTTAACAGAGAAATTAACAGATGTAAAAAGTGTTGCTTTTTTGAAAACATGTCATCAGCATTAACCTTGTGACATATTAACTTTCAAAAGCTTACCGCTCAAACTTCATGCACATGGACTAGGCAGCGAGGTCAGATTCATAACACTTTCCAATGGTGTAACACCTTTATGTAGAAATGTGTTTATCTCAGCAACTACTGAACGATTTAGTATAACTATATTATTATATGAGATTAAAATAAAGATAACTGACATTATTATTTCCCTTTAATACTCACTTCAGATTCATGATAAATCATGTTTTATAATTTCAAGACATTTGGTATTTTTCAGATTTTATGGTTGTGGAATACAGGTGTTCTGTTAAACGAAATCAAGAGAATGAAAATTAGAAAAATGGCAGCTGCTGCAAAGCAAAAAGAAGATAAAAAAGATAAATAAAATGATGTATTCCATTTATTAAAGACAATAAGATATGACAGTTAATTCTAGGAGTGATAATTTGTTCTGTATAGTGGTTGCATTTAGCGGCAGGTGTGATGAGACTGACTATGGATATACAAGTGACATTAAAATCATCAGTGCATTCCATTATTTGTAACTTTGTGAATAAGTCCATGTTCATTCATATCATCGTTTTTTGTTCAGCATCTTCATGTATCATTTGTTTTTTGTTGCAACTAGAATCTCTTACAGGTGACATGAGAATTAGTAGATACACCGGATATGATTGTATGTTTAAATTAAGCAGACTATGATTATTTAAAGACAAATCTTGTTTGATTATTTATAACAATGGAATGTTGTTTGTCTCATCAAGAGAATATATTTTTGTTGGTTTGAGATTAACATATACATGTACCTGTATATAGTAATTTTCTTTTTTCTATATTTACGTAAGGGGGTTTCAGCATACTTATTTCTTGGAAATTCCAACTGCCAGGGGATCTCTTACATGCAAAGTCAATTTTTACACGACAGCAGCATTGTCCCATCCAAGCAACAAGTAAACACACTTATTGGTCTACCTCGCATGCCCCACCCAACCGGACAAGTGGAAACCGGGTTTAAAGGATTTTCAAATCCTGAATATTGAAGAAGTTGCAAGTCCAATGTATACATATTTACACAATCACCACAATTCACCATACATAGGTCTGTGTATGACTAATCAATTCTGATAGATATGAAATGCAATCTCTAATTCCCCACTAGGAAGCCAAACACCACATTGATTGATGCAAAATCACAAATTCTTAATTGTACTATTATCTTTAATCATTGAATAAATTACATTGTTATAAAAAAATTCATGTACATATACTATTCAAAAAAAGTAGGGGATATTTGATTTTGGGGGCATAATACTAAAATATGCAAATGACTACGAAAAAAAGTCACTATAGAACCTAACAGAAGAAACATTTCCAGTTACATGTGACGCCCAAACGCACCAATAGCTACCGCATGGAATGCAGGTGATGCTTGGGATCATCATGGGGGTCCAACCCAAGATTTGCACGACTCTGACTTTGAATGTTACAGTCATTGTGGCATTGAATTCCAGGGTGGAAAGATCAGTTTAATTGTTTTAGTGACCAGAAAACAAATTTTGATATGCGTCGGCTTACCCAAAATGAAAGGTTACGTGCCCTTGGCATGCTACAGATCAGCACAACACAGGCGGTTGTGATGAATGTTTCTCAGTCTGTCATAAGCAGGCTATGGTCCAGATACCGTGATACACAATCTGTACAGGACAGACCACGCTCAGGTCGACCAAGGGCGACAACTCAAGCCCAGGATCGATTTATCCGTACCTTGGCCTTGAGAAATCGTGTCATCACAGCAAATCAGATCAGCGCTCGTCTTCAAACAGACACTGGTGTTAGAGTGAGTGGCCAGACGATTCGGAATCGACTGCATAGGGGTCACCTTCGCGCCCGACGTCCTCGCGTAATCCCTTGTTTGAGAGATCATCACATTCAGGCAAGACGTCGTTGGTGTAGGGATCGTCAACACTGGGATAATCGACGCTGGAGCAATGTGATGTTTTCAGATGAGTCAAGGTTCACTGTTGATTTTTTGGACAGACGTAGGAAGGTGTGGCGTCGTCGAAACGAGCGCTTCCAAGACGTTAACATCATCAGACATGATCGATTTGGGGGTGGTTCTGTTATGGTGTGGGGAGGCATCACTGTTGCTGGAAGAACGGCTTTACATGTTGTTGCAGGGCGTGTTACAGGCCAGTACTACCGGGACAACATCTTGGCAGTGAATGTTGTGCCGTTCGCACGACGTCATGGCCGCCGTTTCATCTTCCAGGATGACAACGCAAGATTTCACAGGGCCAGGATCGTTACAGGTTACCTCCAACAACAGAACATCACCACATTACCTTGGCCAGCACTGAGTCCCGACCTCTCCCCCATCGAGCATGTCTGGGACATGCTTGGACAGAGGTTACGTCAACAACGTCCTGCCAATGTCCAAGAACTTGCTGCTGCGTTGCAACAGGAATGGGACAATCTGGACCAAAATAACCTTAGACGTCTCATTAGGAGTATGCCACGTCGGATCAATGCTTGTTTGGCAAACAGAGGAGGATTTACCCGTTACTGACTTGGTTGTGATGCTGTGGTAACTTTGCTGTTTGACCCCGGGTATCATTTTACCCTTATAATGGTCAGTCTGTGCCTTACTTAGTCTAACGATCATTTGGAATAAATCGATGAATGTGAACTTCATTTCATTTTGTCATTTGTTTCTTCGTCAGTTTCATTAGGTGACTTTAATAACACTTAAAAATCAAATATCCCCTACTTTTTTTGAATAGTATATATATTAAGTTTTATTAAACGCCCACATTTTCGTCGGTCTGTAAGAGTTCTTGTCAGATTTGATCAAATTCACAGGGATTGTATGTGATTGTTTATTTGGAGTAGGATGTTAACCCCCATTTCATTTCATTTTGTTTATTTGGTCAGCAGCGAGAACCCTGTCACCGTAGATGAAACATGTTGCTTGTCAATGAATGTAATACAGGAAAAAGTTATTAATATAAATTTTTTCAACTTTGTTCAATAGTGCATAAGGGATAACCCTGTCAGAGTTTAAAATTTTCATAAACTATTAACACTCATTTACATTCAAATTGATGAAATCTTGACAACATTCTGAAAATAATTTTATTTCAATAATTCGCTTGCGCGTAGGGGTCTTTAGCAGTGGGAGGACCCGGAGAAAACCTATGAGGTTGGCCAGGCGACCCTACTCCTTGTCACGTACAACCGGGGAATCAAAACCACACCAGTTGACTCAATGATAAACCTAACCATTTGGCCCTGATTTTTGATAACTTGAACAGCTAAATCCATGATAAAAATATTTGCATACTAAAGGTTAGCCAGTTGTACTTGCAGACAAGAATGTGATGATTATTACAGATGTTATTGATTCTGACATTCTTTTATTGCTTTCAGGGACTGTCATGAAAAAAGCTGCAGTTAAACCGGATTTCGTTAACGATGTTCCAGAAATATTGGGAAAAAAATGGCCCCAAATCTTACATCAGGTCATTACTTTATCCTGATACACAAATCAGAAGAAATGCAAGCAGAGAGAGAGAAATGGGGTTTAACGTCCACTCAACACAAACTAGGACATTTTGGGACTAACATATGTTTCATTTTTATTTAAATAATTCACTTGTGCGTGGGGAAAACCCACAGGGTTGGACAGGCAACCCTACTCCTTGTCACGTACTTCCAGGGAATCAAAACCACGACAATGATAGACCTTATGATACAATGCACACGCACTAACTAACATCCAACCCCCAAGAAAACGTAGACAGATGGACTGACAGATCGGTGCTATATGACAGTATACAACTACATTAACATGTGGGCGTATAAAATTGGTTACATTAATTATACACTAACATGTGGGCGTATAAAATTGGTTACATTAATTATACATAACAAATTCATGATTATAATCCTGCATAAGATTTAGTCATTGAAAATATGATTGACCACAAATGTTAAAAGAATCAGGAGTAATACATGTATTACTTACTCCATTAAAGATGAATTATTCAAGATCTAAATTTGACTAACACACTATGGTTTGGCCTCAAATGTTATATAATCATTAATTAGATATTTATTTACATGCCAGATGGTTTTGATTTTCAATAGATTTAAATACGATTGGCAGTTTATGATTTAATATGAAAATGGATAATCAAGATAATCAAGACTACACTATTCTGCAAATGACAATAACGCCGCTAAGAATGAAGTAATTTGAATCAAATTCGCAACATATTCCCTTTTCATTATCTATTTTTTAATTATTATTACTGTCAGCTTTTTATCTCTTACATAATTAATCTTTAAAAAGAGATTGTGTCAAACTTAACAATAATATAATCAACAATGAGTAATTAGTTGATGGGGTCATCAATGTCGTTGATAAAGCTATTTGATAAACTAATGTCTTACCTATATATTAAAATTACCAGAAGCCATCTATTTTAGCAGGATACAGTGGGACACATTAATCTCAATACATATTATAGTGTCAATCTACTTCAGGTGACATTAGTTTCATGACACATATCTGTCAACCCTCATCATGTCGCATACATTTTGTGATACATAAATTTAATGATATACAGTAATCACTACCCAAGCAATCTCATTTTAACAAATCTGTTGATACATGTATATAGATGGGGAATATGATATAACCCCCATGGTCTGTTAGCCCTGATGGGGTTAACTACAGAGATCTGTCAGCCTGGCGGGGTTAAATACAGATGATCTGTTACCTGATGGGGTTAAATACAGATAATCAGTTTTCAAATATAGATGATCCGTTAACCTGATGGTTTCAAATACAGATGATCTGTTAGCCTGATGGGGTTCACTACAGACAATAAAAATTAAACTTGAATCTCAAGGTAATGATACAAGACATAGAACTGTCGTGTAAGCATGATATAATTTAGGTGGATGTCGAGTTAAATATCGTCTGGAATCATTCACAAAGTCATGTAATTCTGTTCCATCAATTTCTTTAGAAACAATTGGAGGCAGTGGATATTTAAAGCCTACTTCACCATTACCAAATAGTCCTAGTAATGGGGTTTTAGGAAAAAATTTTCTAAACATCATTGATTCAACATCTGCCTCCCCATAATGATTTTCACCACGACCAACACAAGCAAACATAAAGGCAAATGATCTTTCTTCTGGTAAGTCGTGTGACTTGAGTTCTTTCATACATGCCTCTACATCTGTTTTATCACAAACATCATCTCTGATTATAATGGATGCTATTTTAACCGTTTCTCCACATAAAGCCACACAGCATATTGTTGGTAAATCATGTCTGAAAATCACAAATGTTTTTAAAATTATGGCCCGAAAAGCAAACTGTAAAAAAAGTACAATATAAATCTTAGCTATGTGACCTACCTTCAAAAAGAGAGAGAAAGTTTAACATCCACTGAACATAAATTAGGTCATTTCAGGAATAACATATCGTACAAATTTATTTCAATCATTCGCTTGCCTGTATGCATCTTTAACAGTGGGGAGGAAACTGAAGGACTCTACTCCTCGTCAGATATAAGCTGGAGTTGGAAACCATGCCACTTGACAGAAATGAAATTGGGTTTAACGTCCTACTGTTCTGCTCCGATTGGGCTAATGAAGATGTACTCACTGACAGACCGTAAGATCTAAAGTGCATGCGTTAGATCACTCGACCCCAACAAAGTAAATATTTCCATAATTATATTATAAATACATTTTATGAAATTAATTTATAATAGTAAGTTATTGGGTTTAAAGTAACATTATCCAGTTTGTGTAACAAATTGAATTGTATTTCACTTTATGGAATGTATTTTTATTTTTTCAGGGCATGTTACTATTGGCTTTATAACCTACATGGTAGTAGGTAATCTATGGTTCAGCATCAGTGACTTGTAACTGCTTTTACAGAATTGTTAAATTTGTAACTCAGTGATATAATACTTATATTTATATAAACTTTTTAAAACATCTTGTGTTATCATTTCCTCTCACTCTATCCCGAACACTGAAAGCAGTGAATCTAAAGCGCTACATATAGCTGTGACACTTACTGGAAGGGACCCTCCAGTCATTGGTCTCCAACAGTCACCTTTTCATTTTTTGTTATATACAGAAGCAAAACAGAATTTGAAAGGTACATGTATGTAAATTAATAAATAATAAATGGCTTAAGCTACTGAATAAGCACAAATATACGTATTTGTTATCAAATGTACTATTTTTGTCTTTTCAAAGGATCTGGTTGAGCATGAGCAGTACTTCATATCACCATGTAGCCATTGAGAATGCTACTTGATAATCAAGAATATGTAAAGTTATCGTCTGTCAATCAAACGAGACGGTGCAGAGACAGCTGATGCCTATTTCTAGTCCAAATTTCCAACAGTAATAACTAAGTTCAAACTAAAGTAATTTGATTGAAACTTTCATTATTTTATTTTTTTATCATCTATTTTTGAATTGTTAGCAAGAATGACCAACTCTTTATTAAACTCTAAACTTACTTATGATTGATGTCATGTAACAATGAAGGAAAAACTAAGGAATCAACAAATCCACCAGCTATTAATGGTTGATTATATTCTTTATATAAAGCAAAACCCAACTCTTGTGGACAGGTAACATCATCTGAGAAGAACAACACTGATTTAACTGTTTCTTCAGGTGGAATAAAATTAGAAAATGATGTTTCTTCATTAGAGTTCCATAGTTCTCCTAATTTAGTTCCTTGTTTAACATCAAGTTGTATTGAGTGGAAAGAAAAAGTACTTTGTTTAGCAAAACATATAAAAGATAGAGCACACTTGTTTTCAAATTCTTTGGTTTTCCTCAAACTTGAACTTGTTCCTGAAATGATAAATTATTCATATATAGCAAGGTTGTGGAATCCCTTCCTAAGTCTGAATATCAAACATGGATTAGTACAGAAAAGATATATAAATATAGACATATACATGTATATACTGAATTCCATCAAATTCTCCCAAAATGGTTAAAAGTGGGCAGGTCTGACTGGCAGAAATGCACTTTCTTTCCACGAATCTAAGTCACATGACCAAATAGGCTATTCTATTCTGATGTTTCTTTTATTTCACAGACATGTTTTTCGTAATAAATACCGGCTTTCGTTTTGTGGGATCGATGGCGATGTCAGCTGTAGAGGAATACAACGTTGATATATGTTGTATTTATAATCATCTATGACAGTACTGCACAGTTTATACAATGCGACAAATTTCTATAATTTATATTTCGTGAATCATTATATTAACGGTTGTGGTAAGAAAGAATTGAGATCATTTATTATGCTGAGTATCACATCAAGCTTGATTTTCAATATTTATTTTTTACTTTTACAAAAATAATGCAACCTTACATGTTTACAGTTTAGGGGGAGGGGGGAATTCTCATCACACCATTTTTGGTACGATTTTTTTATTCTGAAAATATCAAAAAATCGGCATGTAGCCCTATTGAAAGCTGAAAGAATTACTATATTGTCGGCAACCATACATGGCCATGGATAGTTAAAAATCAGTCACGAATGCTAAATTCTAAAAGTCGGAAGCCATGGTCACCGAGGCCAATGGCAGCTTCGAGTGCTGTTAAATCAAGCATGATTGAATACAGTAAGGTTCAACTGTTCTAAATCGTAATTAACCACAAAGTAGGTCAACTAATTTCCAGCTAATATTTCAGAATTATGGAAAACTGTATCAGGTAGACAGATGCCGAGAAGGGCTGGAAACTTTTGACCCCTCTGGTTATAGTGCTATGGGACAAATAAAACTTTTCGTTCAACATTAAAGTTCATGTATTTGTTTTTGTTAAATTATAAGGCTATTTCTCACCTATAATACCGTCTGCTGCAACGGCTGTAGTCTGACATGATCTGGGGAGCAAATTCTGAAAGAACTCAGATACATCCGAACATTCCTTTTGTATTTTTCTCTTGGATCTAGATTTAGTTGAAACAGTAGCTGATGTACAGGTTGTATCTAACAGAACACTAGTATAATACACCAACATTGTCTCTGGTTCAATTGGTAAGTTCTAAAATTAATTAAAAAACACTATCAAGCAACCACTCTTACATGTACTTTATATAAGAAGGAAAGTGGAAGTGATGTGTGCGTCTGAATGGTTAACAAGGGTTGTCACATATTTAATCTTTTGTAGGTACATGTAATGGGGGAATTTACAAGATAATTTCATACAGGTCAGATTACAATTTTCATCCTTTGAGGGTTCACAAGGTGCAACAAAATGAAACACGGGCCTTAACTCTGGAAGTAATATGAGGTTCGACAGTCTTCTTTGTTTCACTAATTATAATGCATATAAATTTCATACATATCAGATGATAACTGTGGGCATATAATAAAATGGAGTTTTATAGCAGGTCAGCTCCAATTGGCTATATTACACCTACTTAAAGTAGCTAAGTCTGTAACTCAATATCATCCAAAGTCTTTGACATTGAAAACACGAATTATTTGTCAATTTAAATCAACATTGATGTTGTGATCTTACCGGGAAAAGATGGGCTTCTGATATCCAATATTTAAGACAAAATAAACATTTTACCATTGGTACACGATTTGAGCATAGATACAGTTACATCCAGAAAATAAGATAGTAAGTTTATACAAAATATGAGACAAATCTGCAGGTCTCATGAATACAGGTTAATCCTGATTATCTCCCTTTATTGCTGAGGCCCTAAACTTTTACTGCTCATCAAAGAGTGCCACAGTTTTCTAAGTAAATACATACACCAATATGACCATCCTACCAGTACCAGAGTTTTGGGGTTGTTTTTTTTACAATATTTTATTCTGAAACGGATCGAGGAAAAGGCATAGCCTATGACTCATTTACAGTAGGGTAGAAGTGTCTTGTTTGTATGAAACTTAATTCTTGAAACTGGAATCGTTTGTTCACTAATCCTGCGCTATGAATGTTCCACCCAATCTCTCCCAGGTTTTCAAAAACTATTCTAGTATTTCTAGTCTAAGGTTATTTTGAATGGTAAGAGTGATAGAACCTGCAGTGGTATGTATGGGATGAAGCTTGAAGAAATCCACAATATATAACATCCGGACAGATAATTTGGGATGGATGTACCACTGTTGTCACTATGGTCTTTCAAAATAACAAGGAGAAGTATGACAATAAACCCCATTTCAATTCACGGTGACATCCTCAATGATTAAAGAAATAAAATATGAATATTTGGTACCTCAATAGTTAATTGTATTGATTCAAGTAATAGTTTCTGACTATCTGGGCTCTCTTCTTCACCTTCAAAATAATTCCAATAATATGGACATCTTAATTTTTTTATCTTCTGTACTGCATCATTCCATATTTTACAAACTCTAGAAATAGAAAAATAACATGTGCTGTAGAGACATATTGTTAGTTGTTTTTTTTTTACATTAAAATTCTTTTAGCTTGCCAAAATATTAGAACTTAATCTGTTTATGTGGGGAGTGAGATCTTTGGGTGATCATGGTCGACCACAAAATGATCAGCAGTAAATATTCACTTCGGTTGCTACTGTCACTGAGAGGGATGACATTGAGGTGAGTTATTAGCTCTCATTAACTTTTTTTCTTCAGCAAATTAAGTTCTTAAACAATTTATTATATTATTCAGAAAAAAAGAAAGGTGTTGCATATATCCATCTGGATAAAAAAAATTCCTGTATAGTGTAAATGCATACATAAAATAGTATGTGATGTGTAAAATGTGTAAAAAGTAGTAATTCTGCATACATGTAGTTTCACCTTCCAAACTCATTTTGTTCCTCTTTCAAATAAGATAATGTTATACTATTATGACTAATTAAACATACACTGCCTCCTGCAAAATGTATCTGCTAAGCATTCTTTTCTTTTTCGCTATCGCTGAACATTTCATTCATACTACATGCAGGTTACGATGTATTATGTCTGTGCACCACTTTGAATAACAGAGGCGAGCTGCTAGAAAAGGAACTATGTAGTACCCGTCCTGGGCGTCCTCAACTGGAGACGTGCAGAGTTGAGAATTGCGGTACCTTATCTTGGTTAGGGATAGTATCTTAAATTAGATTCACATTACAACAAATGGTGACTTTTGTAGGCCTAACCTAAACATAGCCTAATTTATTATTGGGGACAAATTATGACAAAAAGTGTGAAAATTATTTATCCTATGGTTTAAAACACACTGCAATACATGATAGGCCTAATTAAAAGGCAAACACTCAGCAAAGAAGTCAATGTTTTTGCAGTCTAAGTCTAATGTACGTGGACGTGAAAATCATAATCATTCGTTGATTATTTGTCAAATTTGTGAATGATGAGTAAGCATATACCTCGCACAACTATTCAAAGACTTCACTGGCAATCCTATTAATATTTGCTTCAGAATCTGAGAGAAATTAGTAAGAACATAACACGATCTATCCTCAATGTCAGTTGCTGTACTACCGTGAAAGTTATTTATTTTGTTCATTTTCATTTTCTTTGATCTGCCAGCCGCCATTGCTCTGGAAAATGTATCAAAACTAATATTCTTGCTGGACGTGGATCCTACATAATACGTTATGTTTTCTTTTAAAAAAAACCTCACCTATTTGCGGAGTTTTCCAATTAAAACTATAATCTTAGTGCCAATCAATGAAATTAAATTTAGCCTAATAAATCTAAATTTGATGCAAACATTATCGTGGATAATTTAATACAGACCCAAAATCTTTTAAAAAGGGCGACAACAAAGACAGGTATATCTAAATTTTGTAAGTGGATCTTACCTATTTTAACTCGACGGAACTACCTTGTTGAACGTTGTCGCCCGCACTCGGCGAAAGTGTAGAGATGGGGTTGAAGGAGGCACACCAATTTATAAGAAAACAGTTCATGTAATATTGAAGACTAGCATTCACACCTTGTGCTATTCTAATTTATAAACCACAATTCGTTGAAATTATGAACCTTAGAAATCCAAAATAGAAAAGAAAAAAAAAACGAAAATAAAAGTCGTGTTTACGGTTATCCGCCCAACCCTACGTTAGTATGTATGGTGGGTGAAAGCGTCCATTTAGATCGTCGTGTTTCTAGATACAACGCGAGAGTCGGCGTTAAGCCAGCACGACGAAAAGGGCAACGATAGTCGACTTTTTAGTCGCACTGGCTTAACGGCAACCCGCCGAAAAGATCGCCGAAAAAAAAGCTCCGATTACTTTATGATATCGGCGCCTTTTTCGGCGACCTTTCCGTCACTCTGGCTTAACGGGGACTCTCGTCTCGGAAGTTGAAAGTTGATCCCTGCATTGGCCGAGAAAGTTCATTCAGATTTTTCGGCGTGGTTTCCCCCTTGTCAGTGATGCAGGATGGAGGGCCTGACAAGGACAGCTGTCTAGTCGTTCGGGAGGGACGAAAAACCGAGGCCCCGTGTACACATTGGCGTGCACGTACAAGATCCCTTGACAGTTGGTATTCGATATAAGAGTAGGCCGTAGTGCCGCTGCCAGGGCAAAATTTCCCTCATAGCACACTGCATGGCGTATGCCCGTCTTCATTAGTCCAGTTTAGAAGCAGAACAGTAGGACGTTAAACCCCATTTCATTTCATTTTCATTTCATATTGTACTTCTTGTTAGAAAATAAGAATAAAATTGTGACCTGATCTAGAGGTTCCACAAGCTAAAAACGAAATTATTCGTACTATCAGGGGCCATAATCCAAGAAGTTACGTTCCGATATGCGCGAATATCGAAATGGACCAAGGAATATAAACATATTTTAAGTTTCAACAAAATCGAGAAAAAAGGGTCCACAACCTTGGTATTTCATATTTTTACATGTTTGTGTAGTATACAATACCTCATACGACACGGTACCTTATACGGTTATATATCTCAAAGTGTTGATTCGCTGAGGCTGTGCAATCGGAAAATTCCATATTCATTATTGATTTCAAAATGAAGTCGTGCTCGTGACAAAAGCTATGTATGAAAAGTTAACGTTTATCTTCTCATTAGTTCATTTTTACATATTTGTGTAGTATACAATACCTGATACGACACGGTACCTTATGTATGGTTTAATGGTCGAGAGCGAGACATTAAGTAATATATTGATACTACACGAGGCGTTAGCCGAGTGTTGTTTCAATATATTACGCAATGTCTTACACTCGAGACCATTAAACAACTTAAAATACAGACACTGTCCCGCACATGCTTTTCAATGAAATACGCCACACGAGTCCAATATTTCATCTAGTGTAGATAATGTACGATTGGCAAGTCGCCCGTACATTATTGAAAAATAATGGTACGCCAACATCAAAGGATGACGTCACACCAGTATTTTAAACGGTAATATAACTCAAAGCGTTGATTCGCTGAGGCTATGCCATTGGAAAATTCCATATTCGCTATGGATTTCAAAGGGAAGCCGTGCTCGTGACAAAAGTTATGTATGAAAAGTTAACAGGTGATTAATAGTTAATAATAGATTAAAATACAACGACATTTACCTGAACTATAGCAGAAAGCGGAGTTTAATTGAAAGGATGTAGCAACATGGGTCGTCTGTCAGACGTGGAAAGCGGACACGTACTACTACTAAACCCAGTCGCCACATCCGGCGTATGACCCATGTATCTTTACTTACTATATATTTTGGAACAGCCTTCTTATCGTCTAGTATTTTCAATTTTTTTTTTTTTACCCAATTGAGAATATTTCCACCAAATTTCTTTTGGATACTGGTTCTACGGCTTTTAGATTCCTTCCAGGGTACTTGATCTTTTGGTCGTGTACACCAAATCAAATATGTAACGATATGCTATGAGACTGCTTCTTTCCCTTATAGGTCGATTCCGAGTCACGGCAAACAAATCAAATATGTAGCACCCTGGGTCTTTTGTCAGAAAGCGGATACGCACTAAAACCGATCGCCACATCCGGCGTATGATCCATGCATTCTTTTTTTACTATAGGCTATATATCTTAATAGCCTTGTGATCGTCCAGTATTTTCAATTGTCTTCTTTGCTTCCTTTTCACGTTGTGTATTTTCTTCTTCTTATCTAAGTAGTTAAGACGTTTATCTTCTCATTAGTTAAGACGTTTGTCTTACCAGGAATAACAATGCAGCAGTTCATTTTTACATTTTATATATCAAGCTGGATACATATTGTACAATGCATAATAGATTACAATAAAGTCATTCTCTCAATTCCAATCCACCCGACTCGCTGGGGCGAGTCTGCTGATAGAAATTGCTACATCATATGTTCTAGGAACTCAAATAGTATTCTCTCCGAAATCCAACGATATCTAAATCTTAAATTGTTGGTTTGGGCTTTTTAACAGATTTGCTTACGTCATGACTTAAGATTCTGCAAATAATGAATTTGATTGGATGGTTACAGTGTATGATGCAGTTAGTAAATATCCACTCACGTGTTAAACATGATATTCTGATTCCCACCGAACCAGCTATGTTTACCAAATTATAACTCTTTTTATGTGTAAATCCGTCACTCATTATTTGAACGATTTCTATACAATGTCTGTATATGAACCCAATAATTAGTTAAAGATACAATATGGTCGCAAAGACCATAGTACTACAAGGACGGCTTTAGTTCAGGGGATATTAAAGATACGTTATGGGAGATTAGATAAAGAGCTGGCATTTCTCACTATAATAGTTAAAATCTAGATACTGTAACGGGAATTTGCAGAAAATAATTTCAGTCAAATTGATCCACTATGAACCGAGATTTTAGCGATTGAATTTTCCGCCTAAACTCGATCATCATTACTAAAGTCGGTATGATAAACACATAGTCTCGATTATCCATTTAATGTTTAAATTATGAATGGAAGTCTAACAGCAAATCGGAACCTAATCCAATAAACATCGCAGGCTAGCGATGCCATCGAGAGTTATGGTCTGGATAAGCTAATTAATGTCTAATTAATAATTTAGATAACATTTCAGGCCTAACGAAAGACCTGCAATAGGCAGATTTAGCTCTTGCATAATGTATGTTTAAAGATATTCAAGAGCGAATTTCAAGGCCCGTAAAATGTCAGCAATTGTGTTCAATCGTAGCTGTGATTAAATACAGTAAATGTTTATCCAAAGGACTCTTGTGTTTATCTTAATAATATCCATTGCTTTCATCAGAGCCATAGCACCACTGCATCGGTGTAGTGGAGACGTTACATGAAAGATACATTACGTGGAGCTAAATCTGCCTAATGCAGATATTTCGTTTTACCTCAGATGTTATATAAATAATTAATTATTCACATGGCAATCCCATAATCAACTCTCTAGACAATCGGATGTTTTTATTTCCCATGGATTTCAACACGATTGGTAGTTCAAAGTAATGGCGCCCCCGAAGTACTGTGTTTACAAGACATTTAGTTCCATTCAGTTCGCTTGTTTTTCTCTCGAATTCTTGGATTACTATACACAGACGCCATTTGTTGACTTATTTTAGAGATGTATTTGCGACAAGAAGAATAATATGGGGTACAGTAAATTGTAGATGGTTAGAAACTAGTACGTGTTTTACTTCCCACAAAGATTGGCCATCGTTTGTTAAAGGAGCTAAACCTCTACTCAATAATTTTAATAATATTCGATCTTGTTATTCTGCAGTGAAAATATGGGATCCTAATATCCAATATTTAAGACACATTGGACATTTTAAATCAGTCGTGTACTCTATGGTTTCGGGCGCCATTTGTCCTGAAAGACAATGCGGAAGTAATTGATAATGACTAATTCACAAACAACAATATAATAATTTAATGTTCACCGTACATAAATGATTAGAAACAGCAATAGAGTTTTTAAAAATTGAATATAAATCAGTTTATATGTTCTTATATAACTAATATTTGAATTTAGATCCATTGTCGTCTATTTTAAGGTTCCAAAGAATAGAGCCATTTAATATACGGTCCATAGTTTAATGAATTAATAATAATATTGCTACTATTTTATTTTGAATATGCGAAGTAGTCGCTGATCTTCGAGGATGCTCAAAATGTCTTTTTTATTTGTCTCCATGTTTTTACTTGTATTTTAAAAGAATGAACCAGCAGAGTTCAGGCAAATACAGGGATATTTATTGTTTGAGCCAAGCTTTCGTCTTATCGTCAACCAATGTTTCGCTATTCGCATAATAAAGTTCTGAGGGTCTGGAATTTACTTTGAAACTGTGTTTGGTTATTTGTATAGCGAATATTAAATATAAACATTGGGACAACCAAATATGATCTCTATCGCAAATAAATATTGGTTGATGGCTTCAAGAAACGGTTCTCCCAAAAATAGCGTGGAATTTTTTAATGAACCATTCCCCCAGGCCCACTTCTGTACAAATACAAACTATCAATGGCATATATGTAATATGAAACAAAGAAAAAACAAATCTAGAACACGGGATAAAATAATAAAAGAGTTTATTTGAAGAGTTTATTTTAGAATTTAGTTTGTTTATATAGAGAATTTAACTAAGAAAGGAAAATGAAAAGTTCGTATATTAATGGTATTGTGTTTGTTAAGGTTGATGTTTTGAATTTTTTTTCTATTTCCAATGTTAATTCTGTGTGATTTGTTTGTCAGTGGAAATATACCATAGAGGCAATAGTAAAATATTTCTGTTCAGCACATTGGATTGTGAACATTGTATAATTTCTGTATTATGTAAACTCTGATAAGCAATACATGTACAAAAAACTATAATTAATATAAAGATAGAATCTGTATCTGTTATACCCATTATTCATTTAACAGTTTCAATATTCATACAAAAATGATGGATAGCTGCTTTTCAGTACCAATATTTTTCTTATTCAACTGAGTTTAACGGAATGTCTGATCCCTGTAAAAATTAAAATCCCCATTATCATTAATGGCAGTAGCACCCTCTACTTATTTGTTAATAAAAGGCGTATAGGGTCAGTGAGCAATCCAATTTTGATTTAGCTGTTCTGTTTATTGCTGTTCGTTCTTTTTTGTTGTTGTTGTGGAGTTGGCTGCGTTATGTATTAATTCCTTGTAATTTTGGCACCATACCCGAGACGTGGGCGTTTGGAGTCGACGTTGTTGTCCCTGCGTGCGCTTTAGATCATTAGGTCTGTCATTAAGCCAAGTGGCGTGGTTTCAGTCCCCTGACTGTATACCTGACAATCAAGTTCCCTCCACTAATAACGTCAACAATATGCAATCGAATTATTGAAATTAAAAAGGACCGTATGTTAATCCTGAAATGACCTTATTTATGTCGGATGGACGTTAAACCCAATTCCTCCCTCTTAAACGTTCTCAGTCATTCTGATAATTTTGTATAAGCAGAGCTAACCCAGCGTGTCACAACCGTCTGATACAAATATCGAAAGTTTCGATTTTTTTCTACGCCTAGTAGATGATTTCCCTATGCATATCTGCTCGCGTCCTGATCTTTCAACCTAAAGTCATAAATATTCTCTGACACCTAACAGAAAAAAAAATCTAAATTCAAACACCCTTCTTCGATTCAAAAAATTCTATCAAATTGAAATACAAAACGGTAAACAAAGAATTGCTATCAATAGACGAACTACATTTTCCCTCGCCCTAGCTATGCCCTTGTGTCTATTTTATTATCTCCCTTTGCTGTTTCGAGAATTTGTCATGTATTGACGATTGTTAGATAATGATATTTAGAAATAAATAAGATGAACTAAGAACAACTATGGTACAGTTCGTCCCCAATAATAACCAAGGAATTTTCACAATAATTAATTCTAATCTGAATGGAGTAAGCGACCAGTGATCTTAGCAATACTCTACTCACTTGATATATGTTCTGTGTACCTGATGTACACCGATCATTAAATCAAATTTGCTCACCCGGTTAAGAACTTACACAGTCAAAACATATTTCACCAATGACCATTTTAAGTTTACATTAATTTCTATCGATTTCACACCGCCTTCATTAACTCTCTTAGACAAATAAAGTAATAATAATTTTGCTGTCTTTTTTGTTCAAGTTAACCCATTCTTCATGAAAGTCTTTTTGATACCCTGATGTTCTTTATTACACAATAACAGTCTTTACATAATGTTAAAACACATTTGTTAGCTTTTTAAATACATGTGTACCTGTTGTATCTTTAACTATTAAATTCCATCATTTTCAGCTGTGAATAATAGAACAGAATAGTCGGATGTTAGACCCCTATTTCATTTAATTGTACACGATATATGGGTATATATATACTTTAAATATTTGAAGGACGTCTTGGTAAATATTACATCTTCAATCTAGTAAAATATTGATATCATGGAACAACGTGAGTTATTTTGTAAAATATTTCCACTAATACTAAATCAATACTTATTTGATCAATATTAGCATGTACCGGACCTCAGGCGATAAGAATTCTTCAAATCGGATTAAATGGATCACAAAACAATATTTAGACTTGATTGTTCGCAACCATCTTGAATTTTGTATTAGAATCTCTAAATCCGGCTCTTCAAAGCTCTCTACATATGTTGTTCAAAAAGAGGATTTTATAAAAATAACTTTTGACATTGTAACTTTCAAACAATAGGCTTTAAGGTTATCTTGACAATAACAGTAAAATATTTAAAGTGTAAAACAATCGACACAAACCATGAAAGCAATCAAAATACAGAATATAATCCACAGATTAGGAAAAAACAAGTACACTTTCAATTTAACTTCCTTTTTATTTATGACTACATATTTATATGAAACGATGATGACAAAAATCAAAATTTGTGTTTTGACATAATAATGACTCTAATATTGGCTTTAAAAAAAGGGTTACTCCTAAGGGTAAAAAATATTATTTAAAGTAAGGGGTTAATCAGGCTGGTGTGAATGCTTATTCAGTCGAAAGCTATATTGAATAGTAATTAACTTAATGTTAAACATAATGAATATGTTCTAGCGTATTATTAAAAAAGAAAAAAAAAGACATTTTAAAAAGTCAGAACATCGCCCAATTTGATCAAATCCATAGACGCCTAGTCTGTATATAACAATTACAACTCGAAGTTTGAAAGCTTATAATATAGCATGAAGGGAGCCAACCGCACCAATATTCTAATTCAGGTCGCTACAATATGAAACTGGCAATGATACGATGTTTTCAGGTAACCTAAAGTCTAATTTGACCTTTAATATTATCCGATACTAAATCTATTGTATATCTGACATCATTTATCTAAAGATAAGTTTCATTGCTTTTACCTAAGCTAGAAATAAACATGGCTAATCGCAAATAAAATACGCAAAAATTGTTGTCAATCCTTCTGGGAGATCTATCTTATTTACCTATCTTTATTCTAGTGTTCATTCAAATTCTTTCTCAAAACTATCACAGAAAAATCAGAACTGTTCAGTGGGGAAACCGCCCGTAAGTAAACAATATTTAATTCATTTAGAAACGTCTATTTTCTCAGCTATTTCCTCGCTATATAACAGAGTCACTTATAGATCAGAGGATCTTCAAAATTTGACATATTTGTGTTTGGACCCGGAAGATAGCTTTAACACTAATGTACTAAAGCTTACAGGTAGATAAAAGACTCTTGTTGTAAGTAAAGCGGCATTTTTTGCATAGAAGGGATTGTCTCGGGCAAGGTGATCTTTCCGCGGCACAATTTTCAATTGATTGTTAAGCCCGAGTTCGTTGGTTTTGGTTTTCTGCCACGTTATTCAACACGGCACCGCCAGAAACAAACAGAAACTCTCATAAATCTTCCTGTCTCTATGTGTCCACTTTAATCTAGCTGGCATAAAATATCTATGCAAAACTCTTAAAATAGGCAACGAATTTCTGTTGTAACGAAAATTGTTAGTTATTACAGAAACTGAAACAAGCGGATCTCGCAGAAATCTAACTCCGTGTCGTCACGGTAAAATAAGGCGATGGAACAATGTTTATAGGGACAGTGTGTATTTGAAAAGACGGGGCGTAAATCTGCCTAAAGAAATAACATGTTTGTTTCCAGCAGTAAACGAATGTATTTGGAGCCCAAACTGTCATCGTCTTCTCAACACACCCTTAACCACCAAATCAACAACGAACCAGCTGAAAACATGATTGGCATTAACGTTACCAAATGTCATCGTCATCATCATCTCGATACTACCACCCTCATTCCAGCATCAACCGAGATAAAGTCACAGTCTAATTAAAATTTCGTTTTATTCATATTTTCCGATTCTTACAATCGGCTATCCTCGTTTATTCCGTTAATTTCCGGTTCTTTGAATTTATATTAGCTTTCTGGTCATTTGGACAGAATGCCATACATAACATACAGAATAAAAAATAAAACGACATTATTTTCATCTTTATCACCGTCATCAACCTCATTATCAACATTATCATCATCAACATTACCATCGTTGTCGTCGTAAGCCAGCATGTACTTATGTACATTTTTATTATGACACACAAATTAAATGACCCACATCTAATACAATCGACTAAATCAGAACTTCGTAAGATTAAGTATATCATGACCAGGACACGACACGACACACTTATTAATTTATGTATTTTAGAAAAGTCTTCCTGCCAACCCCAATTCCAGTTCGTTTAGATATGTAACCATAACCTTGGATTTTCATTTGCTCATGGCCTAGAAAGCGACAGAAATCAATGGAGGCCAGGAAGACATTTTACATCAAACGAAAGACAACCCACGTACTTGAAAAACACGTTAGAGGGAGACTCCTATAGCTATTAAAAAGAAAAATATAACAAAATATTTTTATGCACGACGTCTCTTCCAGATTACTCGCATGGAATGACGAATAAATAATACGGTTCTTGAAAAAAAAATAATAGCGCCACCTTTTTTATTCAATCCATACATTTTCAAAATAATATCCATGTACTGCAATCTTATAAGTTATATTCCCTAGATGTAACGCGATCAATATATAAATAATCAGGGCAATTATGGATCTCAAAGTCAGAATACTTCAAATGCACACAAGAAAGAAATAGAGATATGCAGGAAGATTGTTTTGGAAACATCTTATTAATGCAAAAAGTTGTTAGTATTAGGATTAACTATTTAAAATTCCATCAATATTAATATAAATAAATAGCATGTACCTTTCCAGCAAAAAATTCATTAAATATCTGTTATTCCTTATCAAATATACCTTAAGCTTAGAGAATCTTTTAAGTATGGCCACTGGCGCATTAACGCCACTTGTTTGATTTGAGAGTTGAAGAAAAACAAACACGACAAAAACTCCTGGTCCTGAGCTACTGAACGTATTGTTTGTCGGGTCTCGAAACCTACACTTTCACTGGTCTTTCTCTCTCTCACTCTCTCTCTGAAACTAACTTGGATTCAAACAAACCCGATGAAACAGTTCTCGTTGACGGTTGATAAAGAGTTAAGCTCGACTGCCTTAAAGGAAACGAGCTAGAATTCAAGCCCCGTATCGGGAGCTAGTAAACCCCCCTCGGTTTTAGCAGCATAAAACCATCAAATATGGCAATTTGTGATAATATACGTTTCATATTTTGTAAACTTTATAGTGTGAAAGTTGTGTTGACTTATGTGATATTGTTTAGTTCCTTGTTACAAGTGATGGATTGTTTGAAACGGAGACCTAGGAATTTACCTACATACCCTTGTACATCGATGGGAATTCAGTGGATTCGACATCCGGATAATTGTGCTAAATATTATATATGCGGGTATGGAAAACCCCATTTATTACCACCGTGTCCCCTTGCTTATGTGTGGTCAACAAAATACACGAACTGTGTGCCGTCCAAATCACGTTGGGATGATTGTGACTTAGACTCTACGACAACCCCCAAAACAGTGCGTCGGAGAATGCCACATTTTATAACTAGGAAACGTTTTACTACCTCTACACGCGCTACAACTGCGACTACGTTCACAACAACGACGCCGCGGCCGTCAACAACGACTACGCCACGGCCGTCAACAACGACTACGCCACGGCCGTCAACAACCACTACGCCACGGCCTTCAACAACTACTACGCCGCGCCCGACCACAACAACGACAACCCCTACCACTACTACTATAACGACAACACCCACGACTACCAAAACATCAACGACTACAACACCTCGACCAACTACTACAAAAGCGTCTACTACAACATTGATCACGACTACTGCAGCGTCTACAACAGTTAGTGATCCTACCACAGCGTTACAGACAATGTTTCCAACAAATCATGATATTCCGGAATATCCATGGACACCATCGTTTTGGAAAAAACACACCTTTTATCCGACGTATGGAATTACCCGACGATTCGAACACACGAGTCAAAGATATGTGCAACTCAGTACCACAGAGCCGCCCCCAACGACAATGTTTTGGCCTAGCCCACAACCAGCAACACCAAGACGACCAATTATTATAGAATCTACGTTTAAGCCACCGGATGAATATAAGACTTCGATACGACCCCCAATTAAATATAATCCAGGTAGGTTCTGTATACTTCCCCAGCAGATTTTACTGGGGATATATCCTCTTATGGATATAATTTTTTTTTGGGGTTTTTTTTTTTTTTCCAACAAATACTTTTAAAAATTCGTTTTCTTAAAAATACATTGAGAGGCTTATAATGAAATACTGAACCGTGTAACACAATAACACGGTGGAATGAAAGAAATTGAAATGATTAGTACAACATATAGTTTATCAGACATACGCCTAGTCCTTTCAAGAACTGTGGTCGAGAGTCACATCGTTTTCCATTCTTTTCAAACTCCCATGTAAATCACATGCATTGAGATTTTTTTTATGCGATTCCAGTATCATTCACAGGTTTTTGTGTCGAGGAGCTTTAATTTTTGTCGATTAACATAACTCCGCAATTCATCCTCTTCAAAATGCAATTGACCGCATTAGGTTACTCTTTAGAACTGAAGTTCCTGGGAGGGGCGGGGGGGAATTGGCTCATAAGAATGTGCAGAAGGAACTACTGACTGGCATACACATAAATTAATTTAAAAGTCAATTAAACGTTTCATCTGTAAGTAGCACGCACAAAAAAACTCTAATTCAGTTTATTTTCAAACAGTTCAATATCCCAATCCGACAAACACAATCAGTTCATTTATAAAGAATTCAAACCCAACATGTAAAAAATAGTTTGACATAAATAGACTTCAAAAGGAACAAGAACTCGATAACGTAAATTACAAGGTGAGAAAAAAGATAGAATGGCCATCGATTTTAAAGGTATACATTAAACAATGCTGTTAAAAGATAAGTCTGCCAGTATTTTTGTCATTGTAAATAAAGGCCAATTCAAACAATCTGATGAGCAAAACCTTGTTAACGCTAACATTGAGAACCGGGGCATTTCTTTTTGGATGTACTGTTTATAATGGAACCATTTAATTAAGAGAGTTGTTTATTCGTGACAAAAGATGGTCAAAATCTTCTGGTTTAAAAAATAAATAATTTGTTAAAATTGAAAATGACAGAAGTTTTATATAATTGTTTATTAAATAAAAACAAATGAAATATGAGCTTACGCGACAGAATTATTATATTTTGTTAAGCACCGAAAATACGCGCCATGAAGGACCATGCCATGATATTATCTATACAGTTATTATATACAAATAAAAATGAAAAAGAAGCAATTGTCGGAGAACCTTGTTCTCAAGTATGTTTCGTATAAAGTATCTCTGTGTTCTTAGTACCATAGATCACAGATATTATAGAGATGTTTTGCATAGCATCATTAATCATTCTTTAGTCAATTTAGTCTATGTTTTAAAGTCAGTTTTTAAAGATCTAAGTATAAAAACTGGGATTATTTTTTTTTTAGAATGGATTATACATATTCGCCCAAAATAACCCCCCAGTCACAAATTCGTACGGGTTTCCTCAAAGCTCTAAATGATTTACATTGATATACACTTTACGTTACTTATTTTGAATTTAATCCTACGGTGACCTATTTTCTCTTGTTTGCTTAGGAATTGGAAACATTGAAATACACAACAAAAAAAAGAGAAAAAAACATGGCCCAAATATGGCATATAATATTCAAGTCACGTTTAGGTCAATATCACAACTTGTTCAGTAATGAAAAAAACTAAATACTCCTTAAAAACTGCAAAAAAAAAAAAAAAAAAATTGTATAAAGAATTTGCACATCCAAAACTAAGAATTTACGTTCCATAAATTAAGGCGAATAGTATTGAGCCCTTTCCCATTTTTAAATTAACATCAATTTTCATGTCAAAGAATCATTGCAAGTGGCGGTGTTATGTTAAGAATAAACCGGTTACAGCAAAATCATTTTAAATATAAACAATATCAGACTGCAAGTTTCGTACACTTCAGCGAACCACGCCACGAATAAAGATGCTATCTAAACGCAATTTCATAAACATGATATATTTAGTTTGAAAACGACAGAAAATAACAAAAAATGCGCTGCTTTCCTCAGTTTTTACCAAAATCAGTTAAGTTTATGCTTCATGTTTATATAATAAATTATAAACCAGTTTACATGACAATATTGAATAGTATCAAACAATATTTCTTGTTATAGATCATTGATAGCAATATATAAAACCCTCCGGTAGCTATTGACTTATATTGAGGGATTTTGGTAACCATGGATAAAAACTATCTGGCAAACACATCATTGATGAGCATGAGCAGAAATGGAACGTCCAGTTGTTTTTGTATTTCTATTAAACCACAGAATGCACATTGCATAAGAACTGGTTATCGAAGATGTGAATAGATATATGACGGCATTTTATGTAATGTTTTCGTGTTTACTGATTCTAATAATGTGTAGCAGATAATACTTAGCCACACCCTTAAGGCATATATATTCTTTTTGAAACCGTGGGAATGTTTTACTAAAGATTAAAATATAACATTTCATAAAGCATACTTGAGAAAATTGTCTAAACGATTTAAAATGGATCGTTTTTTTGTCTGTCGTGGTCTTTACCATGCTTTTAATCCAGATAATCTATATTTTCAAAAGATTTAGCGCGATATATATCCAATGAATGAATGACGTAAATACTTATACATGTGATAGAATTACATACATCAAAGGTGATATACAACTTGGCATACCGCGAATGTCTTATATTTAAAAGATAAATTTCTGCTAGTTTGTTTCACAGCATCTTGGATGATTTCACAGACCCCTTTAGTAATAGAGAATCCCCACATTACCAACAAAGATAGAATATGTCTTAAAAGTTAATCATTGCTTACTCCCACTTTCAAATAAAGCACAGAAAAGAGTGTCAAAACATAACGCAAGAATAAAGAAAACAAATCCCACTTTCCACCTGTAAGGAAATGTAAATGTCCAATGAAGACGGTTCATTTATTTTCATTTTAAAAACAAAACAATTATAGTTTTTAAATTTGACAATCTCATTGTATATATACATAGCAAGTTCCAATTGTGAAGAAAAACTACAACATGAAAGATGATGTGTGTAACATGTTTTCATAAGGTCGACAGATCCAACATTAAATGTTGTCTGAAAATGTAGTTCTAATGATTTTTAATGGATGTTTTGAGAGGTTTTAGTAAATGGATCAATGAAACAATTTACTCCATTGTATTTTTCGTTTGTTTGTTATAGTTCTCCGCTTTTGAAACTGGTGGAAAACAATCAATTATAGTTTTCACCGATATAACCAAAATGCAACTGGTTGCCAGATCTTAATAATCATTTTAATTTTTATCCAAAAAAAAAAATACTTTGAAATATTCAAATTAACCATTTATTTATAAATCGAATATTGATAAGACATTTCTTCCCACCATCGCTTCACACCATGTTGACAATATAATATTACTTAAAAAAAAAACAATATTAAAACACTTTACGTTGGTAAATATATCGTGTAACCAAAGTCAGTGTTGTCCAAAGTCTTTTATATTACAAAAAAGAAAAGAAGAAAACAAAAATCATTTTATGAATTGATTCTAATTGTGGGAGGTTTGTACACATTTCATTTTGAAATCTCTTTTAAAAGAAATTTCTAATCGTTGCACTCGGCATGCAATATTCTCTATTTAATGTTAAAGATACATTGTCCCGAAGGTATTTATCGGGTGGTCATTTCCAATAAAAGTATGGCAAATTTGGTATATATGGAAAGTGTAGACGTTCAATCTTACTAGAAAAATACTGGATTACCCGAAAATCACGCGCGGGGCAAGCACTGGGAAAAAATGCCAGTGTATCACTAACTGTCAACCCTGTTGTCTGCCAGCTTATTGTGTGCTAGCTTGACTGAAGGAGCGGTTGTTATCAGATGATCAAATGGTCGGCGGTTTGGGGAACATTGGGGGTGTCAGCATACAAAAGACTCTGAAATTTAAACGGCATAAAGTGAAGTTGACAGAAAATAATTAAGAATTTACTTAGACCTCAATATTATGTATGGTAAATGTACAGTACGTAATGAAAAATACATTCTGAAACATGAACCCCCCTTCAATGAAATTAGGTGAGAAACATGACTTAAACAACAGTTTATTTATAGCTTTGGGTATCTCCCCGCGAATACAAAGTTTTCAGAGGGATTTAAAACAAATTTTTGATATATTAATTAGTTTGAATATGTTTTTAGTTCAAATATATTATCAAATCATATAGTTCGTACGAAGGAAGGTATTTTTATCATTAATAAACAAACTCTCTTAAATGTTTTATACAACATGAAAGCATAAATGACAAGGGTAGACTAATCCTTTGTTTGAAATACATATTTAGAGTCACATGCTTAGTTACAACTTTTGAATAGGGTTTTGAAGAAATATGGCAGTCATATGAACTTTGTAATGGAAACATAAACAACTTTTTGTTGTTGTTAAGAAAGAACAAATATTTATTCATGGTTTTGGAAATAACCATGCATGGTTGCTAAGATACAGTATCATCTCTTGTACTCTGCATTTGCGGTTTAGAAACTAGTTGATATATTTCACATCTTAAAATGTATAAAACCATAATTTGTCAAATCAGTAATCGTGAGAGAGAGAGAGAGAAATGGGGTTTATCGTCCACTCGACACAAACTAGGTCATTTCGGGACTAACACATGGTTCAGTTTTATTTCAATAATTCGCTTGTGCGTAGGGGTCTATAGCAGTGGGAGGAAACCGGAGGACCGGGAGAAAACCCACTAGGTTGGACATGAGGCGACCCTACTCACGTACAACCGGGGAATCGAAACCCCGTCAGTTGACTCAGTGACCGACCGTATGATACAGCGCGCGCGTGCTAACCAGTCGGCCATCCAACCCCCCAATCAGTAATCGTAACCAAAGCTCACTTTTTTAAATTCATTTTTCTAATGATATCCCTCCAGCAACGAGGCCCTAATGTGCTTCTTGACCCATCCGTAGCACGGATTGTTTCATTACATATTCTTCTGTTTGAATTTGTCAACTCTTATAGACAATGCAGGATAA